TGTTTATTCTAGTATATTTCGGAGCTTACTAATAAACAAATAACTAAAATAGTAATATAGATATTATAATTTAACCTCTATAAGAAAGTAAAGGTTATAAATAAAGAATTCGGAAATAAAGCTTTATAGAATAGTATTCTAAAGCAGAAAAGAATATCTAAAACATTATATTATAGGTATAAAGCATCTAGTAAAAGTAATAAGATAATTAGTAAAATTATTAAAATAGATCCCTAGCTTATTTATATTAGCTAAGCTAAATAGAAATAAAGTCTTTATAGATATAATATGGAATTATACTTACCTAATTAGTATTCTTACTATTATAGATCTAATAGAGGATATAGATCTAATACTAAACTAGATATTAACTTAATTCTTAGTAGTTTTATTAAGTTTAATACTATTATTAGTCTGCTATAAAGCTTGGAATTAGTTAGAAAGAGAACTAGTAATTAAGAATCTAGAGGCTCTAGTATTAATTATAACTTTATAAAAGTAATAAATATTATATCTTAATATATTATTAACTATAAATATTTGAGTATTTTCTATTTATTTAGTAGGTTCTAAAATATAGTTTTTACTTATTATCTAGTATATAAAAGAAAGAGAAGTAAGGTTATCTATAAGAGTATTAGTTATAGAAATAGTAGAAATAGAGGCTATAAAAGTAGCTAGAAAGCTTTTAATAGAAGTAGAATAGAAATTAAAGTAATATTTCTTTTCTTTATTTATTTCTACTAGTAAGGCTTTAAAAGTATTATTTATTAGTTTGTTTTTACTATTCTTATTATTTTTTTCTTCTTTAAATTCCGTAATATACTATATATAAATATTATTAAAGCATTTATTAAAGTTATAGATATTTTGAAATCTAAATTAGTAAATGTTTTTATTCTTAAATTAAGTCTTCTTAGCCTTTTATTTCTCTAATATATACTTCTATAAGTAGTATTTAGGTCTTTTATATATAAAATACAATTTCGGAATATAATTATTATAATTATAGAACTTGAAGTAGTTATTATAGATTCCGAAATTATAGCTAGGTTCGTATTAATAATTTCCGAATAAATAGTAGTTTAGAGAATTTTAAGAATAGTATTATTAATTAGTAAAAAGAATCTGAGTATTAATTTATTATTTCTTTTTATAGGTAATAATAAATAATTAGAGCTTATTAATAAGCTAGCCGAAATTATTAGAAGAATCCGAAACTATATATTAGTATACCGGTAAGCCTTAATAGGAAATAATAATCTTATTATATAGGAATTCGGTATTTCGTAAGGCAGGAATAAAATTATATTATAATTTATATAGGTTATTAATTAGTATTTAGACAAGTTCAAATATTGTTTTTTCAGAATTCTTTATTATTATAGTTACTAAAATAATAGTATTTTATTTGTCTAAATTTTAATAATAGAAACCGGGGCTTTTAAAAAAGCTATAAATATTTATATAAACTTCTTTATATATATAGCTCGAGAGCTAGTTATTATAGAAGTAGTCTTATATTAGTTCCTTTAATATACTAGGAAAAGCTCTTACTAGTACTTCTTCTAAAAGCTTTATATATTAGTAAATATTAAGAAAGATAATAAGTTTATAATTAAAACTACTATTAGTTCTATTATATTTTTATATTTTGAAATATATCTTTATTACTTCTCTAATAAGCTTCCTAGTAGAAATAGTAGATATTAATTAATAGTAGTTCGGGTTTAGTAATAATACTAGTAGTAATAAAAATAGAAGTAGTAAATAGCCTTAGTTTAAAGGAAATAAATAGATAATTTAATTTCTCGACTAAGAATATCTAGTTCTTTTATATCTAGTTCTATCTAGAATAAAATAAACTAATATAATAAGTTCCTAAAAAAGATTATTCTAATTAGACTATTATTAATAATATTAGCTTTATTCTATATATTTTTTATTTTCTCTCGAGTAAGATTAATAAAGAATTATATAATAGTAAGGTTTCTATAGTTCTATTTAATATAAATACTATTATATTAAAGTTAGGCTCGAAGATTTTATATAAGTATATAATTAATTAGACTATATATTATAATATTAAAGTTTTTAAAGTTATTCTAGAATAGATTCTATAGATTATTATTACTTTTCTTATATAAGATATATTAATATATTTTAATAGTTATATATTTCTAAAGATTAGCCTTTATTATAGTTATTAGATTAATACTATTTTTCTATTTCTTAATTAGTTTCTTTTCCTTATTAGTATTTATACTAAACCGAGTTTAGGTTTTCTCTAATATATATATATATATAGTTTATAGTAGGAGGAGTTTAATGGTAAGATAGTTTATAATAGGTTTATAGAAAGGATTTAGTAATAAAGGTATCTAGATATCTGATTTAGATATTAGATATCTAGTTCAGATACTAAATACCTAGTTCAGATATCTAATTAAGATACTCGATACCTGGTTTAGATATCTAATTAAGATACTCGATACCTGGTTTAGATATCTAATTAAGATACTCGATACCTGGTTTAGATATCTAATTAAGATACCAGATACCTGGTTTAAATACCAGATACCCAGATACCTAATAAGAATATTAAAATAAATATTTTATTCTTAAATATTTTATCTATAATAAGAAATTTAGGAAGTGAAATATTATAATTCTGGAAGAGTCTAAAGCTTAAAGAACTTATTTTAATAATAAAATTAAAGTTATAATTAAAGAGCTTTAAGGGTATATATAGGATATATATTTCGGAAAAAGAGTTCTATAGATACAGATATTATATAAGTAAAAAAGATAGTTTCCAAAAAGGTAGTCTTAAGGCTAAAAGAAGTTAGTTTTAAAGAATAATAGAAGTTAAATAGATAGATAGTTAAATAGCTAACTACTTATTAATTAGTAAGAGCTAGATATTTTTTCTATAGGCTACTAAATACTTTTATAAAATTAATAAGTAGTTTCTCTCTTTAATATAAAATAGACTAGATTTGTCTTAGGCTACTAAATGCTTTTAGAACTAATCTAAAATCTTCTCTAATTTATATATATAAACTAATTAATATCGGTTTACTAGTAATATATAGTACTATTATATAAGTATAGAAATACTAGTTATATTAATTAGTAAAGTTATTATTTTTTAGAATTAAGAATTATAGTATTATAATATTAATATATAATTCCTAAATCTACTAAGCCTAAAGGGAACTAGTTTACCGGTCGAGTTACTTATATAATACGAGATTATATAATTATTACTTATTACTTATATCCTGTTATTTCTAGTTACTTTTATATTATATAATTATATTATATAACTATTAATAACTATAGCTATACTAATAATTATAATATAAAATAAAATTAATTTATATTTCTAGATTATAATAGAAATATATTTTCTTATTTATTTTAATTAAATATAATTTATATTTAAATTTATTTTATAAATAAAATTCTAAACTATTTTAAAAATATATTTATATTAAATCTTTATAAATATTTTATAATTTAATTATAAATATATTTTACTTATATTATTTATTAGCTTTAAAAGTAATTTATTCTTTAAAATTAGCTTATTTTATAAAAGTATTTTATATTATAATATTATAAAAATAATAACTTTTTAATAATTTATATATTATTAATTCTAATATTTAATAATAAAGAAATCGTTTTCTTAAAATAGTTTAATATAATATATAAGAGAATTTTTAAAAGTAGCCTATTATAATATATAAAAAGCTTTTTAAAGATATATATATATATATATATAAAAGAGAAAGAAAAAAGTTTTTTATAAAATAGCTTATTATAATATATAAAGAATAATTTATTAATAGTAAATATAAGTCTAAATATAATTTTAATATAATTCTATATCTAATTTCAAATAGTAAATAATTTATAGTTTTAATTTTGCGATTTTTATAATTTTTATAATTTTAATAATTTAATTCTCGAATATTTTAGTTTTTTGGTTTTTAATTACTTATTTAAATAAACTTTTCAAATCCGGTTTTTGACTTTTAATATTTATTCTATTAAAAATTATTTATATATTATTATTATTTTCTATTTATTATTATTATTTAAAATATTATTTTCTTTTTAATTCTTTTTAATTTTTTTATAAGTATAAGAATAAAAGAAAAAAGAAAAAAAAGAAAAAAATAAGATAAAGGAATTTTATTAATAATTTATATTATAAAATACTAAATTTTTAATATTTAAAGATTTATAATTTAATAATTATAGCCCTAAACTTTGCTTTTTGCTTTTTGCTTTTTGCTTTTTACTTTTTGCTTTTCTGCTTTTTACTTTTTGCTTTTTTGCTTTTTGCTTTTTACTTTTTGCTTTTTGCTTTTTTGCTTTTTTGCTTTTTGCTTTTTACTTTTTGCTTTTTATTTTTTACTTTGGCTCTTAATTCCTTTTTCTTTCTTTCTTACTTCTATTTATTTCTTATAATATATTAAAGAATTAATTGTATTAATTAAATTAATTAGATTAATTAGATTAATTATAATTAACTAAATTAATATATAAATAGAATACAATTAATAAATACATTTCATAATTAGATTAGATTAATAGCTATTAATCTAATCTAATCTAATTCTTTAATATACTAATTCTTTATTTTTTGCTCCTCTCTTATATATATATAAATAAGAATTAAAGAGAGAGTGATATTTTAAGTAGTAATAATAAGTAGAGGCACAGAAAGAGGGGGCATAATATATGGGTGATTTTTAATGGAATGAGTACGGGCCAAGTCGGATATCAAAAGTCGAAAACCGGATTCGAAAAGTTCGCTTGGACGAGTGATCCTTATGGCTTTCCGTATTTATCGCCTAAAATCCTGCCCTAACTCTTGGCCTATTGAAAGAGGGCGTGGTAAGCGAGGAGCTGCACAGCCGCTTTCTGCAGAGTACTTTTGCAGGTTCGCGTCCCTCTGGTCATCATCACTTTCTTCTACAATATTTTCAAGATTTCCTCAATATGTCTGCCTGCATTCCTTCTCCATCTCTTGGGACGCGATCCCAATTCCCACGCTCACCAGCCGCAGGCAGCTGGGCCCAACATGGAAGCTATCGGCGATCTGGATCCTGCAGCCTTGTCCTCGAGTGATCTTCTATGCTTGCAGCCTCGACCGCAGAACACTGATCCACCCGCGAGAACCCACACCCGGTCGGAATGGAATTCCCACAAGGAGAATATCAGACTACTGTATTGTGTCAAAGGCAGAAAATTGCAAGAAGTAGTTGAGTTGTTCAAACGTCAACATGACTTTTTTGCGACGTAAGACAAGAATCATTTACTTCATCCATTCCCCTGAACACCGTGTATGGCATTCACTAACAAGTATGTCTGCCAGAGAAAAGCAATTCAAGGATCGAATTCGTGTGTGGGGGTTTGACAAGAAAATCAAGATGCGGGAGATGAAAGCGATTATTCGAAAGCGACACTTCCGGTCTCTACAGGGAAAGGAGAGCAGCTTCGAGGTCAGAGGTCGCCCTGTTGACCAGGCCCAGTATTACACCCCACACCTACTTTCTTCTCACTCCCTCTTGGCTTGTGCGCCCCCGCTAAGACGTACAAATAGCATAAATCGAGCCAGTGCAAGATACGGGAGTTGCCACGCCCCGAGTAGGAGCCCAGACGTAGGTAAGGATCCTAGCATTTAGAGTGCAATTGGCAGTTTCGCTGATAGTCAATTATAGCCACCCCTCCAGATGTACGTTACTACACACCTCCCGAAGAATGGTCGCCGAACTCGACTGCTGTCAATGATGTTATTTTCCCCGTTGCAGATGATATGATCACCTTACAACATCTTCTGCTTCAGGAGCAGCAGATTTCTGGCAGCACCACTCTAGTGAGCACTTTCAAGGAACCTTTATCGACTGGCCGGGAATTCCATTCCATGAATTCCAGCTATAGTTTCAACTCCGTTGATTACGACGTCAGTTATGCAACAGCACCTATGTGGAATACTTCACCAGTTGCATCTGTCCAGTTTGGAACCTGTGCAAACTCCCAATCGTCATTAGCGACTCACATTGATCCTCGTATCCTCCAAAACGAGTTCTCTTGGGACAGTGTCGAGAGTATGCCACCACCACAGGCCCCGGAATGCACCTCGGATGAGGTTTTTGGATCCAACCAAGCGGCCATTCCTGAAGCACACTCACCAACGAATGCCGAAGCCAGTCCACCCACTTCTGCGCCTGCCAAGCGATACGGAGCAAGTGAAGAAGACGAACTCAGTCTTAAATTTGATAAACTGCACGCTGTACATGGGCTCCACCACACTGAGACTATCCGAACGCTAGACAACTTGGCATCTCTTCTCAAGGCCCAAGGCCGCTATTCAGCGGCCGAGCATTTGGCCAGTCAAGTCGAAGTAGCCTGCGAACACACCTTCGGCAAATACAACCGAACCACTCTTCTTGCAAACATGTCCCGAATCGACGCTATAGCTTGTCAAGGCCGGTATTACACTGCAAAAACTGAAATCAATGATCTACGCAGGCGCGCTGGGAGATATCTTGGCTTTACGGACCTGGCCACTATCAGCATAACCAGTCTGATGTCAAAGATCCTGTATGCCCTAGCGGAGTATGTCGAGGCTGAGAAGCTAGCTGGAGAGGTGTATCGAGTGCAATCCAAGAAGCTAGGAAGATTCCAAAGGGATACTCTCGCGGCGAAGGCTTTCTGGGCTGTAGTCTTGGTAGCGTTGAATCGACGTTCTGCAGGCGAAACTCTCCTCCGAGAGGTGGTGGACGAGCAGCGCCCACAGGATGATCTTCGGGCTCTTGATAGAATTGGAGATCTGGCTTATACGCTGTGTATGCAAGGCCGATTCAAAGAGAGCGAGGAGCTAGAGTGCTATATACTCCAACGTCAAACCCCTATCTTGGGACCTGATCATCCAAACACGCTGCGCACAATTGTTCGTCTTGGAAGAACACTGAGTCTCCAGAGAAAATTCAAGGAGGCGAGGGATATGTTGATGGAGGTGTTGGAAAGGCAGGGTCGGGTGCTTGGAGAGAGGCATCGTGAGGTGTGGATTACGTGTGAAGAGATAGCGCGTTGCTTGAGGGATATGGGAAACGGTGATGATGCGAAACAATACTTTAGACGAGCTTGGGGAGAGTGAGAGTGGGTGAGCAAGAGTGACGAGGCGTGTATTGAGTCACATGAATAAACCATACGGAGAGTAATAGCAGCTAAGATAACACATAATGCAATATGTCTCTCTTTGATCAATAATATTAGATTGAGGCCCTTCCAAAATCGCCATTAGCAAAAGAAACTCCCTTCCCAACGTTTCCTCCGAGTCCAGACGAAAAGTAGTAACGTCACGTGAGATGCTTTTGTCTCTTTCCTACTCCAATCCTACCATCATTACATCCTGTTCTTTTTTTATTTTCAAGTGCCTTACTGCTGTCAAATTCTACCTGTTACATTTCCTACACATTCCTGCCTATTTCTAGAAGCACTTCACAGACTCATCCTGCCTGTAACCTCATACAAGAAGGCTATAGATCAAAGAGCGGCAAGCTACTATAGCACATGTAGAGTTGCCATCTGCATTTCCTAGGTATTATACCCATTTTTTCAACCTCCCCACAACTGAGCTTTATATTTTTTCGCGGCTGTTCGCTCTATCCTCCTTTCGTGGAACCTTTAAATTGAGGCGATTCACTTTTTTCCTTTCTTTCAATATCCGTGTACTGGACCCTTCTAGCTCAGAGGGATTGCCGAAAAGGTGGCGGCAGTTCACTGTTCCACTTGGAACTTGTACAATGGAAAACTAGTAAGAAAGGGAAGGGGCATATATTTTAGTGGAGGCTACGCCGAGAGACATCTCAGTCCTGTCTGCATGTGGAGAGCCCATTGTCGAGGTCGAGGGCAATTATATTCGTGTCCGACGAGAAACTCATCACTTCTCCTTTTCCATTAGGATTCCTCAGCCACCTATCGACTAAACCTCATGCTCACATAAAGAATCAGAACTCCCACCACCGACCCAAATATCCAAGAACCACAATTTCATCCCCAATGCAACGCCTCCAAACTTCTTCTTCACTAATACTCCCCCACAGCCGGTGGTTTCCTCACATAATCAAGCACAGCCAACCCCATGGCCGCAAGACAAAGCCCCTAGTCCTCCTTTCTCCCCGCATTCCGCACGACCTGATACCCTCTCCCCTCTCTGGAACACAAAAACCAGCTATTGTTATCTCCCACCCCAAAAGTGAAGACTGGACTCGGGGCCGCTGTCAGGAGTGGGCATGCTGGAGCCTTCGCCGAGGTGCAGGAACAGGCTACGATGGCGGATGGGTGGAAGGTTGAGAAAGAGTGGGGGATGTATGTCAGGTGGGAGGGTGCGTCGGTGGCGGCGTTAAGGTAGATTCATTGTGTGTGGGGGAATATTGTTTGTGGGTTGTTAACTGGGTGTGGAAGGAAAGGTAGTTGGTACAAAGGAGAACTGCACGAGGTGAAGGGGCGGAAGTGCAGACACAATAGTGAACCTAGCCGGTGCCATTTACCAGAGAACTGGGCCTCGCCTGTTTGAACTCGGAGCTGGGAACTGTTGGTTTGAACAGAGAGGTACAAAGGTGTGCTGTCAAAAACCGCAAGATCGCCCCAACTGTGTTCGTGGTTGCAAAGCAAATGGAATGGTTCCGCAGGAAGTTAACAATAACCCAGATATTGACAGTAAATATCGTTCAGTCAATCTTCAATCCTTGAAGCCCTGTTTACTATCTCAATCCTTGAGCGTTCCCCTCAAAGCCTTCTTCGCTAAATGAAAGTTCTGAATGCCTGGTAATCTTACATCAAAGAATCCCAGCTTCACAACACAACACAATACAATAGAAACGAGCATGCTCCCTTGATCGGATCACTCTCTGTCAAGTTCGTGTTGCGAATTGTCTAAGAGCGAAAGAGGGTGCTTATACAGATGGGCGAAAAGTGAACTATTGTACCCGTTTAAGCTGCAGCTTATCAGCTTCTCTGCTTAAGCTCTCAATCAGCGACTGGTAACGCTAAGTGATTGGACGCCATGGTGATACACGCTTCGTCTACAAATATCGATTCTGCACAAAGGCTTGCAATGCGGGGGATTTTAGGGCTGTGGCATGACGATAGCTTGAAGGTGCAGAAGGTGACGGTGGCGTGAGGGGTCACTAACACATCACGTGAACTACCCCTGGATTTCGGGGAAAGAGGGAAGAACGTGATCGAAGGAAAAAAGGAGAAAGTAGACAGGGGATAATTGAAACGTTGTTTCAAGGGAGACAGAAAGGACAGCGAGTAGGATTGTTCGATTAATTTGAGAGTGGGTATATCCTTTAAGCAGCGAAACTACCTCTCCACCATTACCATTTACCAGCCAGCTCGTGCCATTGTCCAGCAACTCTGATCCAAAGAATTTAGCATTCTGTGGCAGGTGCGGGTCGAGAGTGCAAAGCGATGTTGATGCCAACATTATGCAGAAGCAACAGGATACTCGCCCTGAGGCATCTCGTTCTTCGCTTCTGTGAGTGCGGCAGCAGAGCGACCAGGCAAGCAATGCCTACCAGCCTGGCGATGGCGATGAAGCCCAATAGCTGTCATGACGAGGGTGACGACGAAGAAGATACTGTTCACCATTAGCCTCCCTCCCTTTTTTCTCGAGCTCAGAAGAACTTACAATTCCAATCCTCCAAGGCCACTGGCAGCAGCCATAGCATTGCGGTAAGTATAAACATTCGTCGTCTCCCGCTTCTCCAAATTCTTCAAAGCCTGACTGCGCTTGTAGTAGCAAACCCCAGCGGAGGAGTAGATACAATCGCTAGAGCTGTATGTGACGATCGAATATCCGGCAACTTCAGAGGCGAGAAGCGAGAATGAGATGATCCAGAAAACAATAGCGAAGATGTCGAGGCCGAGGATTGCCCAGTAGTTGTAAATGATTGGGGCACCGGTTTGGGCGACGATGATGTAGATTGTGATTATCATGGTTGAGATTGCCTGTGCCGCGTGTTAGTGAGGCTTGGTTGGAGGTGACGGGTGGATAGATCGTTTGGTGAAAGAGGAGGGTAGGAGTGGAACGCACAGTGAAGAGAGTGAGGTCAATGCCATCAAAGGAGAGATAGGTGATGCCGTAGGCAGCGAGACCGAGGATCGCGAGGGCAGTGACGAGCTGCAGGCTGCGGAAAGCCAGCATGAAGCTAGGCAACTCGAGGATATGATCTCTTCCCGCCATTTCGTTTGTATGTATCCGATGTTTATTAGATGGTAATAAATGAAGAGACTCGGGGAGTGAAGATGGAGCTAGGGTGAGAAGAAACGTTGAAGAGGAGGAATGCAAGGGAGAACGAGAGCTTTATACCTTTGCACAAGTTTTTCCCTTGCAGCGGTAAGGCTCCTTTACTTCCCCCGCCGCCGCCCAACTTGACCTAAACAATGAAAATTGCCATAAATATAGAAATAATCCGCTGGCCTCAGCCGCATCAAGTATCCGTGGAGCCCAAGCACTAAAACATCCATTCCGGACCGCAGCTTTCAGCCTCATGCCACTCCTTTTTCTCTCTCTCTAGAAAACTAATGCATGCATAAACCCTGAGCTACTTGCTGGCAAGACTTTCTTTGGTTCGATCCCCATAATTTCTGCCCAAAACATCAGAAATAAAATAGACGGCGGGGAAGTTGCCGAGCGTGTGACTTCCTGCTTGGGATCGGATTTGTTACAGTACTTCATAGAGAAATTTTTCTGCCTTAAAATGTTAAAGCGACGGAGCGCATGAGAAAGTGCATTTGGTAGGATGCGTTTTGGAAGAGAATGTGATAGAACGGGATGTGACAACGCGGCACCCAGTAGCTGAAGGCCACGCGCTTGTACTGGAGTACTACGTGGGTACCACGTGGGTACAAGCACCAATCCTTTGATTAGGCATCTTCTTCACTCGTTTGTTGACCTACGATTGGATGAGATTGATAAGGGTCTGGTGAAGACAGATGAGAACTTTGATGCCGAGTACAAACGGATGGATATGGCCGGTCGAGGGACTTCCTGGTGCTCAATGAAGGCAGCAGGACGCAAAGCATCACTGACTCAGACACTTGTCTCCAATCCCCACACGCCCATAGACACCGCTGGCTGATCGTGGACTTTACTGGTCCCCGGGGAACTGGTATTAAGAAAGAAAGGGAAGAGATTGCCCTTGGCTCCCCCTCAAACTCTCCAAGGAGGTGCTGGGTACCCCTGTATTTTGGTGTGCCCTTAGCGGCTGATCCTCTGGTACCTGAAGTTCTCTGCTCTCCTCCTTCCTCTCCCAAAATAAAAGTATCGCTCGTCGGATTTTGAAATCGTGGACTTGTGTGTTTTCAATGTGTATTCATATATCCCTTTCATCTGCCTCGTCCAAAACAACGCAGCAACGCAACCGTCAATTACCACCGGGTATATCCACTCCTCCTCGATCAATCCACAGGCCACGACTCGGCGGAGCCTCGATGGTGTAGGGGTGTGATCTGGACGCTTAGCAGCAGCTCTCCGAGCATCCGCAGCCACAGCAGTCGCAGGCTCCGTACTCTCCGCCGCGGAGTCCAACCTCGTCGCCTGTGGTCATGGCTGGTGCTGGCTTCTATTCCACCGAAACAATCAGCAATTGCGCTAGGGGAGAGCTTGCAGGAGACACAAAGTGGGGAGAAGGAAGAGGAGAGGAGAGCATACGGGTTGTTGGGTAGTGATGTCGGAGGTGTTGGCGGTCATGGGCTCAGGGGCCTGAACCTGTTGCTCGACGACGGAAGGCATCTACCCCTCGATCAGCACTCTGCACCTTCAATTCCTCTCAAATTCCAAAGCATACCTTGGCTGAATTATCTGCGTATCTGTCTGTTTGGTAGGGCAAGTGCTCGTTGGTGTGAAGTTGACGGAGGTCGGATTGTAAGTACTTCGATTCAGCCCGTCGGACGAAGTGTGAAGTAACTGGGAGGGGAGAGGAGGGGGAGGGGGTGCTCCTCAGCTTATCGCGGAGGAGCCACCGCTATTCTGCGCCAAGAGCGATGATTTGCTTGTTTCTGAGCACCCGTTATGCGGGTGGGGTCTCTGACACGATCTTGTCCAATGAAATGAAAGGAAAAAACCTCGTGAGTTCTCAGCTGAAAAGAGTGGCTTATGCCAAGGAGTTGGCAAGGGAAGGGACATTCTTGGTTTGTGCAAGCACTGGATGAACCACAACACCACCAGGACTGGTCAGATGAGATAAGATATCGAAAGAACCTCATTTCTAGCTTTGAAAAGGAAATCGCTGCAAAAATGTTTGACCTTGAATTCGCTGCTCGGGCAAAGTTGAGCCTGCTCGGTTCCTGCGTCGTGCGGGGTTAAGGGTGCATCGAGGCGGCACAAAATGTCTCACCCCCTCTGGTGTGCTGTCAACCATCGGTTACAACACTTCTCTCAGTCCCACGATATTCATCTCTTTCACTGCTTGTTCTTCGGATCGCGACAGTGAAGGGATAGTACCTTGAGCAGAAGCACGTTATATGGTGACGAGCAGCGCCTCGCCCTTGGCTGACTTGGTGCAACAAAAACTCTACCTGCCTTTTCCGCCCCTATTTTTGATGGATGCGTAGTTGTGAAGATGATTCGCGGTCAGAGTTGTGGGGACTACGTGTAAACGACCCTTGATCTCCAAGGAAAGTCGAAGCTTTGTGTCAATGCGCCAAGCTGCGCCCGTTTTTGTTAGTGATTGAGCTACCCCACTATTCCAGATGCAGAGGACGTGTATGCACATGACCTTCCTGTTATCCTCTGCAATTTATAATCCAGGGACTATCTCCATTGGAGAAAGATAAACAATTGTCCGTGCCCCCCCGAAATGATCCAAAAATCACCGTGGGCGGACGTCCTCTGTCAACTCGAATAACACAGCCCGAGAATTTTACGGCTACGCAGTCCCCAGTGCTGAGATGCAAAGGAAAATGCCACGGTCCAATAGCTGTTTCGGGCAATATCGAGGAGCGTCAATGGCCAATTGTTCCGGACCCTTCAAGAACATTCTGATTCATTGTTCCAGTTACGGTGAGTGCTATGAAAAGACATTCCGGAGAGTCGCAGCGTAGAAAAAAAAAGGGGGGGGGGACCATTTTCACGCTAAGCAGACTCTCCCTGCAAGAAGCAGAGTTTTTTTTAATGGGGTCAAGGCCGTGGTTAGGGTAGTGGTTGATGAAGTAGAGTTATTGATAGCTGAGTCTCGACCTTTCTCGTATTAGGAATACAATTATACTAGTAACTTGGGCCCTGCATCCCTCTGTCGCACGAGTTAAATTTAATTTCTATCAAACCCCAGCGATTCTGAAACCTGTTAGCAGTGAGGATGAGCGCGAGAGCGTTTATAGTTCCAGGCACAGCAAGTCAGTTGGAGGTGGAGGTCCGGGTTTAAATATCTGAGGCACGTCATCAGACGTGTGGACCGTTAATACCCCAAGAAGAAATACTGTGCCGTTTCATACTTGAAAGGCAAGGGGATGTTTTTTCTTGAACATTTTGGGAAATATCCAATACTGATGTGTGAAGCACTGGAGAAATCAATAAGAGATATAGAATAAACCTTGCACACCTAATATTATAGTAAAGGGTCTACCCTTTCAGAGTCTTGATCCCGATAGACAAAACAGGGATTGACAGCGGTGTTATGTTTGACAATTATGGTATTAACTTCCATGTTCGTTATACATGATATATCTATTCACATTGACTTGCCTAGATTCATATTTCTGTCAATATAGCAATGTAATCTTACAATTTTGCGCAGTCTGCAAAGCAAATATGCCCTATACTCTCTTCGCCCTTGGACTTTTCCTTCTCAATAGAGAAGCACCGTTCCGTGCTCAATGCGAAGTCTGAATTTAACAACTGTCATTAGCGTGTTAGTATAGCCAAGATAAAGCGGCGTGACGAAATTGCACGCAAAAACCTCTAGCTTACCAAGATTTCTGGAAGACGAAGCAATGGATAGATTACACTCTGCTTAAAGCAGCAGGACATAGCAACGATTTAACACGACGATCCAGAGAACTTAAGCAAACGAGACAAAGCAGTGTGAGGAAAAATTTGCAGTAAAATATATCCCGACTAATAATATTTCTTGAGGTCAAGCGTTCGACTGCATACAGTGTACTTAAAGCAGCGCCGCAAAGCGACCATTTAACAATTGTACTTCACGCCTCAGCAGCATAATAAGCTGGCAAAGAAGTAGAAGAAGCTGAAGGCACTACCGGAGTGATGCTCATGAGTCCGGCATGGCGTGCCTAGCGGAAACCCGCCCCCTAGTTCTCATCTGAGTTGGCGTGCTCGGCCATCTGATTGATTTGCAAAGATGAGGAAGATATCATTATTATCACCTCAAGGCTCGGATAATAGGTGACAGCAAGAAGGTTATTGACAAAAGCTTATGAAGCATGAAAGGGAGGGGAGACTTGAGCAAGGGGTGGGGTTGAAGCGGGGCGGTGGAATGCCCTCCGCAGTGCGAACCATACTTGCAACAGGATTCAAAACGATTTGGATTCCAAACTAGTCATTTCGAATTTCCTTCTTTAAACCGTTGGTTCCAAACCAGGGGAATTGAATCAACTGGAAAAAATATACAAGCTACCTCGAGGATATTCACAGTACCCAAGTCATCATGAAAACTCCCAAGAAAACCAAACACATGTGGAAGAGAAGAGGTGAAGACGCAGGAGAAGAGGATAGAGATTATTATAGTATGAACAAAGCACCAGAGCATAATACATAGCAAACAGGGCAGCAACGTGGCGGCGCTAGACATTTTCGCCTCGAAATTTTGAATGCTTTTCCGAAGTTGAACAACAATCTTAAAAGTGATAACAGCAGAAACACTGACTTTTACATTTTTTGAGTCAGTAGACTGGCTCATTGTGAAACATTTCTGTGGCTGAGAATCACGATCATTTGGGCGAGTGGTTGTGGTTGCGTCTGGCTGGCTCTGTAGCCAAGGCTTTTTCCGCAGCCATGTTCTTCTTGCTCAGACCCATTTTAAGGTGGAAATTAATAGCGGACTGGAACTCTACTTGAACTCTTTATAGGTCAAGTTCACCTTTTATGGAAAGTTTAGTGGGTGCGCAGCTTACAAACTTAATCGAATTGGGGGGTTTAAGATATACTACGCGTTGGATTTTTGGACTTTTAAGCCGATTTGTATTATTCATTGCTTCATTTATTTTACCTTTACAAGTATCCTCATCTCGATCGCCATAAAATGTTCAGAAATCAAGAAAGTTATCCCAAGGGCTTGCCTTAAGGCTCGTACTTGAGAGATATTTAAACTGCCTACCTTATGAAGCGCGGATGTGAAAATTTAAGGAGGTCTTTGAGTGGCTTCAAATTCCGAAGCTACAGACCTCGTTACTACATGAGCAATGCCAACAAGAGTATTATTGAAACGAAAAAACAGAAGGAATAGGCATGGCAGGTTGCCATTAGTGAGCTTCGAGAACCAAGTTTATTCTTGAGAAATGACAATATTCAGGCTGTCAAAGGAATCATAGAGGCATTAATGAAAAAGGGCAAAAACACGATCGCGCCCGGCCTCTGATACCTTCTTCCAGAAACAGTAGCATGTTTGCGGCGTGTGGAATTACACCCGTAGAGGGCTTTACAGCCTTATAGTATTCATGAAACTTTTGTGACTCAACAAGTAACCGCAATTTTAATTCGTTACACTTGACATCAGCACTTTTCTGCAAGGTGTGTGAGCACCACTATACACTCATGGGTGAGGTTATTCTTCGCAGCTTCAGCAGAGTAAAGCGGAAGATGATCGAAAACGGCAGCTTCAATTCTAGCTCTTCATTTCTGCAAGGACGTCTCCTAATAGAGATTTTCTACCAATTCTTGCGCAAGTAATGACTCTCCGCTACCATATTGACAAAGGCTGGTCAAAAAGGAGTTGATCAAGCCGAGGAAATCACAATCCAGTCGCGTGCTGATCATCCCTTTCTCTTCCAAAAACTTCAAAAACTCAATGCTCCCCGGGAATCGATGCCTTCGATTTTACGTCCAAACAATAAGCAACGGTATTCTTCATGAATGCATTTCGCTTTTGAAGTGCAGAGCAATTTATTGTCGCGAAATCTTGGACGTGTTGGTGTTCTCAGGGAAGCAAGCGAAGTGCTACTTCACAATATGAAATGCCGCAGGCTCCTCATAGTGATCAATCTCACATCGACCATTGACCATCCCCCATAACTCCAAGCGCTGGGGACAGGACAAAATTAAAACTTTATACGAATAAGATCTTCCCCATTCTAACCCTTGCTAACAAGCCATTCAACACAACTAAATGTTTCGAGTTCTAGTACTCGCCTGCGATCGCCGCGACACCTACATCAACAATTTCAATGTGCAAGATCTAGTAAAGATAATAGCACCTAAGTCCCCAAAATCAAATCCACTAGTCTTTTTACCCATAGAGAAATCAATCCTGCCGTCTGATCTACAATTGTCATGATTCGTCCGTTGTCAATTTTCAGTCCGCTGTCATTTCAGCTCGTGTTCGTCTGATACCGTTAAAGGAAAACCTCTGGGGTGTGTAACCCTTGTTCTTTGTAATAGAGGGATGTCTTCAGGTCCAATCTCTACATGCGAGTCTCGAGATCAATCGTTTGCTCTGATTTGTTGTTACAGTTGAGGGCGGAGTGCCAAGATGGACAGGGGTGTTGCTATTAGCGAGGGCGAGAGAACCTAGCGAATACGAACCCCTGAAAGCAACCCAAACTTTACCCCGGCTTACAAAATTGTAAGGCTGCTCGTATCCCTCGTACGTGTCACAATCACAGGCACCAAAGTCACAAAATGATAAGAACAGCTGCCCGCGCTTCCACACCCCTCACCAACCGACGAAATTCAAACTTATATCTTCTCTTTTAAATGTCAAAATCATGTGTCATAATCGGCGGAGGAATTGCAGGCATTTCAGCGGCTTTGGCGCTCACAAAAATCGGCGTCCAATGCACAGTGTACGAGCTCCGAGCAGCGCCGTCAACAATCGGCGGGTCAATAAACCTCACTCCAAACGCACTCCGGCTGTTAGAATTCCTAGAAGTCGAAGTCCAAGGCTGTCGCGTTGATTCGATTGAGATTTTCTCGCTGCACACAGGCAAATTGCTTGGCGAGTTGCCGTTCAGGAAATTTGGTCCTGGATTGAGGGTCCTGAGGGAGGAGCTACTTCGGTCCTTGTTGTGTGCGACAGATAGGAAGGGGATCAAAGTGGTTTATGATTCGAAGTTGGCTGCTATCAAGGACGACAGTGAAGACACAACGGTGACGGCTGTATTTGCGAATGGTGAAGAAGTACAGACGAATTTTATTCTTGGCTGTGACGGAGTGCATTCGGCAGTGCGGGGTCAATACGTCGAGTCGAGTAGAAGACCTGAATATACCGGCGTTGTTGTTGCTTACTCGGTTATTGATGGGTCGGGAATCAAGACGCATTTCCGATCAACAGCTTTGAATTCAGGGAGATTTGGGTCTTTGCTGACGTCGTATTTTGATCCTGACCGGGCGAAGATTTATGTTGGGGCTGTTATGGAGATCAAGGAGGAGAATGATAAGCAGGGATGGAGGGTCAGAGGGAATGACCGCCAGAAGACCATGGACGAGATTGAGAGGAGGTACAAGAATTCAGCACTTCCATGCGTTGACGAGCTCATTAAAGAGGTGAAAGACTTTGTGTTCTATCCGGTTTATAAGCTGAGTCCTGGAGGTATTTGGTCTCGAGGTAGAGTACTATTGCTGGGTGATGCTGCTCATGGGGTACGTTGATTTCCATATCTTAAATTAAGATGCTAATGAGTGATTAGATGCCACCGCAAGGGGAAAGCACTGGTCTAGCGATTGAAGATGCTGTTCTGTTTGCCCGAGTCCTGGAATGTACTCCTCAAACCTCAGTCGAAGCAATCTTCCAATTGTATGAGAAGACACGGCGACCACGAATCGACACAGCATACAAAGAGGCAGTCGCGAGATGGGAGAACGTAAAAGATAGGAGTTGGTTTCTTCAAAAAGTGATCGAGTGGATGATGTGGGTGTATCTGTGGTACAAAATGGGTGATTTCGAGGCTAGTATGTCTTATGACGTTCGAAAGGAGGAGATTGCTATTGAGGCGGAATTCGAGCCACATTCTTAAGACTGGAAGAAAGGGTATTTGTACCAATAGAAGAGTTGCAAAGTTGTTCTCAGCAGCTGATATGTGTCGTGCAGCGTCAATTGGATCGATTTTCGTGAGCTGTTTTGAGGTAATTGCAAGTATTTAAGGCCCGGACAAACTTCAACAACTCGTTTTTCTGAAGATAAGATCATTTGCCGTCTAAATTTTCACCCGAAAGAGCAAGAATTGTCTCGCTTCCCGTACTATAGCCATAGCTTATGCAGGTCGATCACGTGACCAGACCTAGCCCCTCGTTTTTCGCAGTCCTGATCCAATCAAGTTACTCAGTTTGTACGACATGCATCCGTGGAAGCATTGCGGAGAGCTTGGACCATTCTTTGCCAGACCCTGTACCGTCCCTGGCTGCGATGAACATTTGGAAACATATTTCCACATCCGGCCTAGCTCCCTTCAAGGGTTTCGGATTTTAGACGAGGGCTTCGTGCAACCTCACCTCGCTCCATTCATCCACTCTCCGTCATCAATTGACCAGTAAGAGCCGTGGTCAGTGCCACAGACCGTCAATATTCGTGCCTGAAATCGAGCCGCTTCTATCGGTCAATCCGTCCGAATTCATCCGCAGGATGTTTGGAATCAAGCTTTTCCTTTTGCCAGCCATACTCACACTTTCCCGCTTCTGTACGCAAAATGACGTCGCAAGGCCACCTCCACGCTATATGAGCTCAGATATCTTTTGTTTCCCTTGTATCTTGTCACATCCAATTTCCGATGTTACCCTCCACAATCACATTTCCACCATGGCGCATATACGACTCAAAGTGGCAGACGAGCGGCTGTTCGAAGAGATATATAAGGAATGAAGTATCCTCGACTCTCTAATCAACCATATTTCTTCAGGTCAAAGGAATTCTCACTCCAATATGCATGGTCTCATCTTCCTCCTTGCGCCAGTCCTCGTTTCAGCTGCTGTTATCAGCTCCAGAGATGATTCTCGCGCTGTCTATTTCCTTGACAACAATCCAGCAGGAGCAAGCATCATCTCTCTGAAGATTGCCGAAGATGGAACTCTCTCTGACCCAGTTCGAACTTCTACTGGAGGCAAAGGTCTGCTGGCTTTGACTGCAGGGATGAATGGCGCTCCTGCAGCTGCTGGTGGGGCTGGTGAGATGGATGAGTACCCCATCTTAGACCATCTAACATTCAACAGATACTCTCTTCACTCAAGACTCTGTTGTAGTCGACGGTAATGTAAGTAGGCCCCAGATACTTCTCTTCGTGTACTTATTATTTTAGTACCTCTTCAGCGTCAATGCCGGAAGCAACACCATATCGATGTTCTCAATTGACAAAACTGACCCCTCTCACCCCACACTCATCAACACTGCTCCCACATTTGGCGAGTTTCCCTCTTCGGTAGCTTACTCCTCCAAGCTAAGGACTGGTAAGTCAGTCCCCTCCATTGTTCTTCTCAACTGACATCCCAGCTTGCGTCATCAACGGCGGCGCCGTCGCAGGTGTAACCTGCTTCTCAACCGACCATGCCAAAGGCCTTACGCCGCAAGGTAGCCTTCGCCCCATCGCCCTCGGGCAAACCACGCCTCCTGTCGGTCCTCCCGGTACAGCCTCCGACATCGTCTTCAATCCCTCCGAGACGGCTCTCTTCGTGTCAATCAAAGGAGCTCCTCCTATTCCAGGCTCAATATACGTCTATCCTATCGTGGATGGCTATGTATCCATGACACCCGTCATCTCCAAGCCTACCACCCTCCTCGTAGATTTCTCGCTCAACTTCCTCGGCGCAGACAGCAAAGCAGTCATCACCGACCCTGCATACGGAGCATCTCTCGTCGACATTTCAAGCACCTACTACGTCACAGTATCAAAGCAGATCGTCATCGCTGGCGAGAAGGCTATTTGCTGGGCCACGTACTCCGACCGCTTCAGCAGCATTGCCCTTCTCGATGGAGGTTCATCGAACGTTACGCTCATTGACCCTGAGTCAGGCGCAGTCACTGGAGTCGCTGTACTGGATGTGGCTGGCAAGGGTGCTTTTGACGCAAAGCTTGATAGGACTTTTATGTATATTTTGAGGGGTGCGCCGTTTGTTACAGTGTTGAGTAATATGGGGTTGACACATGGGAAGATACCGACTGAGCTTCAGAGCTTTGATTTGAGTTCCCTTGGGAATAGGGCTGGTTTCCAGGGGATGGCGGTTTATCCTGCTAATTGAGGGCAAATCCTCTTCTGTTGAGATGATTGTGAGGAAAAAGTTGATGCTTACGAGTATTGCCGAGCTCGGAACACGCACTGCATGTCGTTATCTAGTTTATAATTCCAGTAATTGCAAGGATGATCTTCTTAATTGACTTTCCATGCGGTAGGCATGAAAAGCAGTACTAAATTCACCGAGTCTAGTAGTGAAAATTCCACTGCTCGCCCTTCTAGTATTCTTAGAAATATTTAAATATTCAATAACTAAACCAACTATTCTCTTATTTTACTCTTATTTCTACTCGCTTCAGCTAATCTTGCTATAGGCTTCAGTCCTTAGGATATGCCTCTGTAATTATTGCTAATTCTTATTAATAGTGGCGTAAAGGCAATGTAGAAGTAGTGCGGACTATATAGGATTAGAGGGCCTAAGTACTCTATCTAGTTGGTTGGAAGGGACGGGATATCCGATTTCCCCCCTCCTTTAGAAGAAACTTTTTACTGGGGGCAGTTTTTGCATGCAGCAAATGTAGATCATAGCTAATAATGTAAAGTGACTGCAAAGCGTTAATGCAGGGACGAAATCGTGTTCGAAGCGAGACTAGGGTGTGTTTGTTTACTTTCTGGCCTGTGCGGCCTTAGAAGCCTTACCTCGCCAGAGCCACCTGGGTAATAGTCGGACTTAACGTCGCGCTAAAGGGGCCCTACCCTTTAGTCGGGGAAAGCGATGTGTCCCGGGAAAGCGAAGTGTCCCGTACCGATCGCAAAAATTTCTAATTTATATGGAATATCCATAGTGAAAATTAATTAATTTAATTACTACTAGCCCAAATTATCCTGAAAATCTGTTAAATTCGATAGTAATGGCTCGCCTAAGTAATCTCCCCAAGAATATACTTCTCCGTAATATACTAGAGAAGAATAAGCTCTATAGGGCTATTTAGTTCCTTAAGGCTAATCCAGAAGAGACTCCTATAACTATAGTATATATATATTATATATAAAATAAAGATATAGTAAGGAAAGTATAGTAGAGAAAGAAGAAGAAAATAGGAATAGTAAGAGTATAAAAGGGGAAGTAGAATAAGATCCTTTATCCTAATTAATATAAGATATTAATTTAGTATATAGTATTATATATAATTAATAGAAGAAAGGAAGCTATAAAGTAAATAATATATAACTATATAATATAGATATAAATAGAGAATAATAAAATAACTTTATCTTAGAAGTAGTTCTCTTAATAGCTAAAAAATACTTTAGAACTTTATATAATTAAGACAAAGCCTATTACAAGCTATTATATTAATCTTTATACCAAATAGAGCCTATATAACTAGTTTGAAACTAAATATTATCCGGTATTAGAGGAAACTAGAATATACTATAGGAATCGGATATATAATATAGATAAGAAAGAAGTATAAATTTATATACCTATAGGAAAGGAAATAGTTATTCTAATTAGAATTAAGAAAATATATATAGGAATACTAGAAAATCATATATCTCTTATAATAATTAAATATATATCTATAGATAATAAGGTAATTTCTTTAGTAGTAATTATCCCAAAAGTCGTAATTATAATTTCTTGATTTTACGAAAATATAACCGGCCATAAGATTATTATAGTCTCTTTTATAGGATATATAAACGAGGGTATTTATATGGTTTAGTTAGATTATTTTATTAAATATAATAATTACGGTCCTAATAAGAAATAGTATATTCTCTTAATTAATAAAGTAACTTATTACTAAGCAAATAATTTTATTTTAAAAGCTATATTTAATAAGATATAAATTATCTAATTTCCCTCTTACTAAATCTATTTACTTTAATTATATAATATTAGTATTTTTAGGGAATGGAAATACTACTAATAGGTTAATATTATAAATGCGATTTGCTTATATAAGCCGAAATATAATATCTAGTACTTCTTTTATAATCTTTCTGAAATAAAGAAGAAGACATTTACTATTTATATAATTAAATATATCTTTTAGAATACTAGAATTTGGCCTATTAGTTTTAAAGTAATATAGAGAAAGCTTAAAAAATATAGTAAAAAGAGAAGGAAAGATACTAGCCTTTAATTCCTAGAGTTTGGATCTGAATTAGAAACTAAATCGGATATAGAAAATATATAATTTACTATACCTGCTCCTGCTCCTGCTCCTATTTATAAATACTAATTACCTACCCTTCCAAAACCTCCTTCTTTATATAACGAATGCATTCTATGGCTCGATAATCTTAATAACAAGATTCCGGATACTTTAAGCTCCTCCTCTCGTAAAGAGTATTCAGTTATAATTAAGGCTACCAAGAACTACCTAATGCTTGGAAGTTTACAAGAGCTAGATGCCCAGAATACTTGCAAGGCACAGGTTAAATATCATAAGGCTAAGCTAAACATATGGCTTAGTTTCCAAAGAGGGGAGTGAATAAATATATCTAATACTCTGGAAAAGAAGAAGATTAAAGTGAGGAACGCAGTAGAGGAGGAGCTAAAGAAGGCTAAAAGATAGCTCGCAAAGGCCGAATTAGCTAGAAAGGAAGCTCTTAAGAGAGTAGGAATCGCCGTACGAGCGGCAGAGAGAGAGAGGAAGAAGATAGTAAGAGATTTGGAGGCACAAGCAAAGAAGTAGGTTATAATTATCCCTCCCGAGCTTTGAATACCAATTCGCGATCCCTAAAACGAACCTACGGAAAGCGAGCTTGAAGCCATTCAAATTAAATACTAATTACTTTACGATAAGGTAGCTAAGGAGCAAGCTGAATTCGATTATATATAGGCCAAAGATCCCGTAATCTTTACCAATATCCCTATTAATCCTGTAATACTCGTATCTGAATAAGCTTACCGGGTAAAGAAGAACCCTCTTAGTTAATTATATATACGGGCAATATCAGAAGAGTCTAGGGGATCAGATAAGAAGGTAGAGGAGGTACGAGAGGATATAAATAGTAGGATTAGTGGGGAGAAGATAGTTCTGTGTTCTTTACTACCTAGATTAGTAATATTAACTGATTCAATAGCTCAAAATACAGATTTTGTAGCATTAGAGTAATAAGAGATTATATCCTCGATTACGCATTAATTTAAGGGTTATTTGGTTGTGTGGTGTAATTCAAGTGTCTGCGATTACATAGAAATTTTGGTGTGGTGCGGGACACTTCGCTTTCCCGGGACACATCGCTTTCCCCGACTAAAGGGTAGGGCCCCTTTAGCGCGACGTTAAGTCCGACTATTACATGGATGGTAGAAACCCCCCTGCCGGCGTAACGAGGCCACCGTCCAAAGTCCGTGTTTTTACGGCATTTCGCAAACGCCAAGCCCAATTTTGTGCTGTTTATATTATTTACTAAATCGTTTTATACATTTTTTAAAACTCACTCTAGCTTCTTTCATGGTGTACGTATAGATTGTAATAGGTTACAATTAATAGTTATTGCATATTTGTTGAGTAATGTAGGAGACTTTGGTTTTGCCAATGCCTGAAAACATCGCTAAAAACACGGAGTTTTGAGGCCGGGCTTATAACGAGCCTGCGCCCTCAAATCCGTGGTTTTCGCTTGTTTTATCGCTTAATTTTTGCTTCTTCTTCAAAAGTCGCAGTTTAATATTAAGTAGTACGCAAGAACAACTTAATAGAACCTTGTAAAATATAGTTCTCTGCCAAGAATTTGCTTGATGTCTTTGTGGTTTGAATTTAGAAACAAACCCCCTGGAATTGAGAAAGTTTAAAGTTTCTTCGGGGGGCTTTAGGCCTGAAAAGCACAGACTTACAGGCGCAAGCTCGTAAGCATGTCTCACCAGACAAAGGGATAAGCATACCTGGCAAACGTATTGGTTCCCCTGAGTAGGATTTCTCTGTTGGTATACTAAGCGGATACGATCCTGCTGCGATGCCGGCCCCTGCTGGTGTTGCGCCGCATCTGGGCATGCCGTGATTCGTGAAGGCCCTGCTGACGCCCACGTTGATGATAAGGAAACACAAAAGAGAGACAAAATCCCCCCACCACCAGCGTATTCCATCCCCTCCAGAACGCTCCGTCATCGTCAGACTGCTGCCCCACTGCACTGTCCACATTCATCGTCTAACACACATCCATTAGGGCGTTGGGTTTTGACTGCCTTTCTCCCTGCAGCCGACGCTGTGGCGCGGGCGGAACGGCCCGCCGAATTTGAGAATCATAGCACGAGGTACTAAGGTGGCGCTAATGGCGCAGCCGCTCTCTGCTTAACCTTACCCAAGATATTTCACGACAAGTAGCCATGGCATGCACAGAATGCAGACAACGCAAGTTAAGATGCGATGGACAACGGCCTCAATGCAGCAATTGTGAGCTGACCGGACTCATGTGCCAAGTTAGCGTCCGTCATGCCCGAGGCCCCAAGAAGGGCCACATGGCAGCGTTGAAGAAGAAAATCGGTTCGTGATCATTAACAGCTCCGGATCTCAGGGTTTCGTTCGCCCAGACTGTCACTGACAACATGCGCAGCCGAATTGGAGGGTCGTTTGGCATCACAAGATGCTGTCGAGGACGAGGAAAGCATGAACTCAATCCTGGACTTTCCCGGCGACCAGAACATCCTTGATTGGAACAACTTCCATGATGTACACTTGCAAACCGGCAACAATACATCAGTTGCTGAAACAGAAGCGTCGTTTTCAAACTTCGTAGCCACCACTGCGGCACAAAGTATACCCGTCACCACCGCTTCGCTAACAAGCACACCCGTCACATCCGCCGCTTCAGCTCCCATGCCTGCCACGCCTGTCATGTCAGTCTCGATGGAGCCTGAGCAGTTGCATACATTAACCGGTTTCATTCCAGCAGAATTGTGAGCACTGCATACAAACAAACCACCCCCTCGCGTGCAGCATAGAATCTGCAATCTCGATCAGATAGATCATGCCCGCACTTCAAAGCAAAAAGCTAATAATCGTGGACCCAGAGACCAGCTTTATTTCGAGCGCATCCACCCAGCGATCCCGTTGTTGCACCAACGCAGCTACCTGTCTTGGTCCAAGAAAGACGTCAAGAAGAAGTCACAAATATGTGTCCAGCGCGCCATGTGGGCCTTAGCCGCCCTCCAGTCGTCCCAGTATCGATACCTCCAAGAACAACTTTACCGAAGCTGTACACAGATGTTGACCGCGATTTGTTCATCCAGCGCCGGCTACGATCCTTTCGACAGGGAGCAGATTCAAGCATGGCTGCTGATTACCATCTACGAGCTGATGCGTTCATTCCATAGGCAGGCTTGGATGAGCGTCGGGCGTGCTTTCCGCCTCGTGCAACTACTACGACTTCACGAGCTCGATAATCCTTCACATGCAGTTACCCCTGCACACGAGGGTTTCGTAGAAAAAGAAGAAGAGCGGCGGGCCTTCTGGTTGGCTTATTTCCTTGACCATTTGTTCGGAATCAGCAGCAACTGGCCAATCACACTGAACGAGCTCGTGGTAAGTTTTGAGTTGTGCACCTTACGTTCATATGTACCCACCACCTTGGAACTTGCAGTAACCAATTTCGCTCGCGCTCTCAGGTTTGCACACGCCTGCCGGCATTCGAGGATGACTTCCAAAACGAGCGGCCAGTGCTCGGGAGTTTTCTGTCCGAAGCAATCACCGAACAGCCGCGCTACCAGTCGCCATTCAACGAAGCCATCATCTTTGTCACGCTCTGCGGGCGTTGGTCATTCTATCGCCAACAGGATCACGTCCGGTCTGCTTATGGTGACATATATTCCAACTGGACGCATTCGGCCCTGATGCTCGATAACATCCTGAGACAACGACTAAAAATCCTTTCGCAGTGCTATTCGTCTCCCGACGAAGCCAGCGGACAGATGATACATTTTGTGAACACAATGGCGCAGATTAGTGTCATCTACTCTTCCACGGGCGCAGATATGCTGCTACGAGTAGACGAGGGAAATCCCATGCAGGAGGAATACAAGTTACGCGCAATAGCAGCTGTTGACCAGATAATCAAACTTGCGCAGGTGCTAACAAAGTCATTCGTCTTCAAGGTGAGTTCGTTAATGGCCGCGCTACTTAGCTCTGTCATTGCCAGATATCACTTTCTGACCGCCATATCCTCAGATACACCCACTTGCCGCGATACCGCTCATGTTGTGCGCCGACTTCCTCTTCACGAACCAGTTTGTGAGCGAAAAATTCTCGTCGCTGCTCGAAAGGCTTTCGGAAGTCTTTGAGCAGATCAGAGACATTGAAGACCCCACACAAAGCTACATTGATGTTATGAGACGGTGGCAGTGCAGTGCAAAAGTTGGCGGCAGGCTGCGGCGGCCTTTAGATGACAGTGCTACTACGTGAAATCCTAGATGGGATTCTCCGGATATGGCAGCATTCCTAGTCAATAGTTTCCACTTACAGTATCTAGACCATATAGAGGCAGGTGAAAATCGTAGATGGGATAGATTCTCCGGATGCAGCAGGCGTTCCTGGTCAATAGCTGACACATGGCAAAAGTGAGTGGGAGAATGGAGCACTTAAACGCATATGCAATTGTTCATTTTCGGTAGTATGAGCCGATGCATTGATTCTAGGCGTATAACTACACGAATGCTACCTGTACACTCGATCGGGTGCTATTTCCCTGCAGGACTCGGTGAGGCTGTATAAATTCCCATCGGCGAAAAGCACCTGAGTCCATTTTCGACTTATCTCATGTGACCGAACGCCCATAGCCAAACCACAGCATGCCATTCCCAGAGGTATCTTTTTACTTCCCAGGACGAGTGCAGATGGCATTGCTGTTACCCTCGGTATCTTGGAAGAATTGGAAGGGTGGCACATGCGGGCTGAGCGAGATGACATCGCTCACTTGCTTGCCACCATTTTTGACAACAGCCTGATAATGTAAAGTGTCAGTCAATGCCATTGCCATCCAAAGCGAAAAGAAATCCAGGGCCATTGGCGCTGGCTCCAAAACTCACATCGATTGCTGCTTTCAAGTCATCGACATTGATGTAGAATTTCGGGGCGCCGGACTTGGGGATCTCGTCAACCTTGGACACCACACCCTCATCCGGGAAGATGTCGCCGGGAGCGGTAAAGGTCTGCATCTTGTCGGCGGGGATCCCAGCTGACGGCGCCTGGAACTTCCAGTCAAACGTTTCGGTGTAGAACTTGGCCGCTGCGAAGTGAGAAGTGCGTTAGTAACTACCGAAGTACAAAGCGGCGCAAGAATGCACGAGCAAAAAAGCGGTCACCTCAAAAAAAGGGGGAGATGGGTGTCGTAATCATCGCAATCATGAGGCCAAGCACGTAGCACGAACGACATCGGTGGCGGGAAGCTCGATTCCCGAAATTTGCCCGTGAAGAACCATGATTGCAGAGAGGAAGGCCCTGATCTGTGGCCGAGTTGACTGGATTCTAGAAAAAAGAGAGACGAAGCTTGCAATGAACTTTTATGAAGATTGAAAGTGAAGTCAAGTCAAGGTGAGGGAGTCAGTTGGATTAGCTGCTCAATATAACTGTCGAATGTTGTGACCACGGCTAGACTGCTACAGCCAACACAAACACCAACAGGGGGAGTAGCCAACGGCATCATAGGGATGCTGCCCTGTCTCAAGGGAGAAGCTGTCCTACTGTGTAGCCAATGAAGGGCCGGCGCATGAAGCCTCCCGCCCAAAATCAGCGGAAGCTAACCGAGCAAGTGGGGGCTGTAAAGCCCTGGCGTTTGACAGACCGGCATAACTTTCCCCGAATCTTTTGTCCGAAACTACAAGAAGACATCTCCGAGTCGCCTTGAAGTGAAAAGGGCTCAAACTTACAGTATGGGAGGGTTAGAATTCGTGGGACACCTCGCACAGACCGTTCGCATTGCAAAGTTACGCCGACGGGACGGAGCCACAACAAGCCAGACGGCCGGACATTAAGGAGATATGATGGCTGGAAAATATTGTAGTCACGGCTTACTGCCGGAGATAGGAGATAGAACTTTAGAATAGCTGGAAGATCGTCGCGTCGTACCACCGGCACCTAGATGTCGCCTGATCAGTCACGTGTTACTTATACACTTCATTTGGTATCTGACCGCTAATTCAGCGACACCCCGGCGGTATTTAGGTTTGACGCTCGACGCTGTGTGGCTAGATACTGTGATGGCTGCATCCGTGAAGAGATGGTCAATTACTATACGGGCTTTGCGGGACTGTCCCCAAGTGTACATACGGCCATCTAGGGGAATGTGTAAACCGACACTCCCCGGGTGTCGATTAGGGGTGTCGATTGGGAGCAGACTAGCCACTAACCTAAAGTAGAGGCGCTCGGACAGGAACACCAAAACTCTGGCTTTTTCATTAATTTAATTTAATTTTATAAGGAATTAATATAATTTAATACTTATATTATTATAAATTTTGGATTAGTAATAGCTCTTCAAATTAAAGTAATTAAACATTTCACATTTTATAACCTAAAAATAAGCTTAAGAAAGCCGAGAAATTTAGTAAATAAGTCCCTAAAACTAGATATAAGAGCTCTGTAAGCTTATAACTTATAGGGTCTTATAAGGCTTAAAAACCAGAACTTAATTAATTAGTATATAAATTTCCTTAAATTAAAATACTATTTTAAGAAATCTTTTTATTATAGGCTAGAAAGCATATAACTATTATCTAAGGGTTATAATATATTAGCTTGTACTTATATATTAGCTTGTACTTATATATTAGCTTGTACTTATATATTAGCTTGTACTTATATATTAGCTTGTACTTATATATTAAAAAAAATCCAACTTAAGATTTTCAGGGAGCTTAGATAGCCAATTACAAGTTGTCAATACCCCTGCCCCAATCGACACCCCAATCAATACCCGAGGGGGTGTCGTTTTACACATTCCCCCATCTAGAGGCAGCACTAAAGCCGGAATCTATCAACATGCCTTACCCGAAGATAGAAGACTTCATAAACACTCCATTCGATTTCGTCATTGTCGGCGGCGGCACAGCAGGGCTGGTCCTCGCGGCGCGCCTTTCTGAAAAAGAGAGCATCAGCGTTGCAGTCATTGAAGCAGGTATCTCGCGTTTGGGGGATCCAAAAGTAGACCTACCAACGGGAGCAGCCTTGATGCTGGGCAATGAAGACTATGACTGGAATTTTCGAAGCATTTCTCAGGTGCGGATTTGCCGCTGTTGAATCAAAGAACCAACTAATAACCATCATCTGCTCTCAGACGGCGAGCAAAGACAGAGTATATCATGTTCCGCGGGGGAAAGTGCTTGGGGGCTCAAGTGGCATCAATTTTATGGCCTATGGACGACCTTATGCAGCAGACATAGACGACTGGTCCGAGAAACTTGGAATATCTGGCTGGTTATGGGACGACTTGCTGCCGTATCTGAAACGAAGCCAGAAGTTAGAAGTTGACCTGCCAAATATAAAAGAGCGGGATGTTGACATTTTTCCTTTTGAGGTAGAGTCTCAAGGCACTGCTGGAGCTATCCACACTTCGGCGAGCCCGTGGCACGTCCCATTTGAAAACGAAATTTTACCTGTGTTGGATAAGATTTCAGGGTATGCTCGACCAAAGGATCCATATTGTGGAAGCCACATTGGTTTCTACCGGTCTTTATGGGCAATCGACCGCAGCGACAAACCAATTCGAAGCTATGCCGCAAGCGGGTACTTGGCTCCTATTACCGAGCGTCCGAATTTGAAGATCTTCGCGAACACTGTGGCCTGCAAATTTCTGACAGAGACCAAGGACAATGGAAAGTTAGCCGCAACAGGCGTCGAAGTTCAACACAATGGAGCTCGCTATGTCATTAAGGCCAAACGTGAGGTAATTCTCAGTGCTGGATCCTTTCAAAGCCCTCAGCTCCTTGAGCAGTCTGGTATCGGGGACCCGGATATTCTACACCAGCTCGGCATTCCGTGTGTTCTTGAGAATCTGAATGTGGGAAACAACCTGCAAGAAAAATTACTATCAGCTGTGGTTTACGAGCTGGCTCCTGGAATTATGTCTCTGGACTCTTTCCTTCGAGATCCTGAGCTTCGCGCAGAGCATCAAAAGCTTTATGCGGAATCCCACTCAGGAGCACTGTCTGGGTGCATTAATCTCACGGGCTTTTTACCATACTCGTCTCTTGTCAGGAAGAATGACATTGATTCCACCATGGACAGCATACTGAACCAAGAAATCGCCAGTGGCTCACCACAGTCACGGGCTCAGAATGCCCCTTTCCAACATCGCCAGCGAGAAGCTATTGCCGAACGGATGAGGAGTCAGAACTCTGCAGACATCCAGTTTATTTGCACTCCGGCCAATTTCGACACTGCTAGCGGCTATCAAAACCTCGCCAAACTTAGTCCCGGGTCTCCAGCTGGGTATAACTCCTGCTACTCTATCGTAGTAAGCCAGATGTATCCCAACTCCCGCGGAAGTGTGCACAGCAGATCAACAAATCCACTCGATGCACCCACGATTGACCTAGGCTTCTTGTCGCATCCAGCCGACGTGGACGTCATGGCGGCTGGCATCCAATTCGCCGATCGTGTCCTTTCCTCTGACGCACTCAAAGGAATGGTCGGAAGAAGAGTGGACCCTCCACCTAGCGTCGATCTACAGGACAAAGAGCAAGCCAGGGACTTTGCACGAGACCACGTTGTAACATATCATCACTCTCTAGGAACGTGCGCCATGGGCCAGGTGGTGGACGAGCGGCTGCGGGTGAAAGGAGTGCAAGACCTTCGTGTGGTCGATGCTAGTGTTATGCCGATGCAGGTTAGCGCAGCTATCATGGCGACTGTGTATGCTGTTGCGGAGAAGGGGGCAGACATGATACTCGCGGATCATGAATCAGTCAGGTTGTGAGAGAGAAAGATTGGTTTGGTGTTATTCCATTGTACATAGGTATGTAGAGAAAAAGTAAATATCCATGTCTACGTCTTTATAACTCTAAGCGTGTACAGTAGTTGTGCAGTCTCACTGAAAATCAATTTTGCTAAAAGAGACCACCCACCCGACATGGATCACTTCCAGATAGCCTTTCGACTCAGGGATGTAGATTCCCATGTAGACACAGGGGCCTCTATTTGACTATGGAAGTTAATACGAAACTATAGATCTATCTCTATATACCACAGGACCACACCATAGAACAGCAAGAATTTACAAACTCCGATGTCTCCTGAGAAGGTAGTGAGCTTCCACGCACTGCATTGACGAGTGTCAAAACCTTTCTTTTCCACCAGAGCAGCACCTATTCGAACGGCAATGCTAAATCTGCCAGAAACGCCCGGGTAAATATCACTGGTTCTACCCCATACACGGTACAACTAAGGACGACTGCGTGCTTGTGGCAAGAGCCGACGCGGCCTATCGCCCGAGATCACTGCTAATGTCTTCGATTTAAAGCCTCCATTAGCCAACTCTCTCGTCAAAGCTGGAATGTTAGGTGAAGGTCCCATAGCAGAGATCACCACCGGTCTTGCCATGTCCAGTTGGAGGCAGATGCCTTGGACCGTGCTATCAATGTCCAGGAGGTTCATTGAAATGTCGGCAATGATCGACTCCAATAACTCTTGTAGGGTCGCCGCGAGGAACGGCTTGCCAGTACTCGTGGAAATGATTGATCTATCCGGCAAAACAGGTGTATTCAGGCCGGGTAGGCTTCCGATTATCCAGTCGATATCCGGGAGAGATAGGTGGGAGGCGTGTACTGCCATGGCAGCAGTTGTTGACACTTGAGACATCTGGCTGAAGATTGGGCAGCTTTCAGACATGTGCTGGATGACGCTCGGCGGCGCAAAAACCGTATTCCACAATTGGGAGGTGACTCCGATGTAAGCTTGTTTTTCTCGAGGAAGATTCTGCAGAGCGTGTTAGCGTCACTGCCGGCTCCTGTCACGAACGATATGTATTCTCCACTGACATGATATAGGTTGTAATCCTCGAGTTGCATTTCCAGCTCCTGTCTCGAGACGCGGATAAAGGTTGTAGCCCATAGGCCCGGCTCCGGCTCAATTGCCTTTGATCTGCGCACTAGTGCAATGACAAGCCTAAAAGAGATAGCCAGCACTTCACAGGTGAGATCGAAAATTGTAATGATATCCTTTGCGCAGGCAGCCACTGCACCAGCCAACAGACCGGTACAGAATCCTGCGATCTGGATGGGGCCTGTTGATTGCCTGGAACCGTCATTGTGCTCGTTGTCCCTGTATTTGGGTCAGTCAGAGGTTGCAAGATGTAGTACGTTTCCTGGCTTACAACACGAGCGCCCCGAAGCGGGCAACCAAGGCGAGAACAGATGCAATGATCTCGTCTGGCTCTTCTGCCTCCGCATATATTTCTGCGATTTCAAGTACGTTTATGCAGTGCAGGAAGAGGGAACCTTCTTGAGAAGCTAGCTTTTGTGTCTCTTCTTGGATGATCTCGATAGCTTGTTGCAGGAACGTCTTCAGCAGGAGAGACGACTCCGAAGCCTTCCATAGTGCCCTGATCACGGGAAGTTTGTTCTCAATCGTCGAGTCCCCGAAGACGAGGACTCGTTGAACGTTGCTAATCTCCTGCAGGAACATTTCACGGGTAGCTCAGAAAATGCAGGGAAAACATTAATGAAAAATTACTGGGAGGATAGAAAGTAAAAGCGTTGTCCTTTGCTACATATGTACCTGATAACCCTGATAGCGTGGTAAAGCCTAGACCGACTCTGGTGCCCATTTTAATTCGTATAAATTCTATACTTGGAGGAATGAAGAGGCGCAAGTGGAGCATCTAGACTACTCAATTAAGGCGACCACCCGTGCCAGCTAGGCTTCTAGAGGATTTTGGCCGACGCTTGACCGGGAGAAGGAGGCGGTGGCGATGCTGACATCTGAATGAAATCCCTTATCTGGCGTCGGTGTATCTATGAGATCGTACGGAGAATTTTCGCATTAAAAATGCGCAAAAATACGCAGATTTTAATCGTGAAGTACGCTTTATATATTAATTAAGCTGACCTGATATAATTAATTATCTATATAATATTTAATACAAAATTCGTATTAGAGTATGCGCCATTAAAATGGTAGAGTTATTCCAACTTTTAGAGGACGTTTGCGGTAGAAAATGGGCATTTTGGTGGGGTTTCCGGGAAAATGTAAAACGACCCCCCTCGCCCCCTCCCCCTCGGTGTCGATTGGAGGCCGGACTAACCTAAAGTGGAGAGGAACACCAAAATAACTAGTTTTCCTTTAAGTTTAATTTGCTATATAAAGAATTATTATAATTTAAATATTTCTCTATATTATGAAATACCAGATTGTAAGCTAATAGGATATAAAGTGTTTATTATATAATAATTAGTAAAATTAAGAAAATCTAAAGAAAGTAAGGGAAGGCGGAATTTTTTAAGGCACTATAAGAGCCTGAAAATTTAGCGATCAAGCGCCTGGAACTAATTTGCCTCGTACGCAATAATTACCTTGCCTGTTCCACGCCCCAAATTAGAGCTCTTATATATAAACTTCCTTATACCTATATTAGGAAATCTGATTCGAGGGAAAGACTTAAGTAAGTACAAGCAACTAATTAGGCTTTATTAAAACTCTAAAATCCATTAATACGTCTAAACGCCCCCGGGGGGGTGTCGTTTTACATTTTCCCGGGTTTCCCATACAAATAAGCTCGATCGGACACTTGTTTCGCCGACTGTGGGCGAAGCGAGCTGAAAAGGAAGAACCGACTACGGAGTATTAATCCCCCCTATCGGGAAAAAGCGCCTCGCTTAATCCACACTATGAAAAGGTTCACCTCACCACATTCCCGTATCGCTATGCAGGACAATGCCGGCGCTGACGAGTTTCACAACGAGGCTCCTATCACAGCACGTCCCGGACGGTTCACGGTGCTGTCAGCCTTAAAGATGAAGTTCAAAGGCGCAGCACCGACTATAACCTCGTGCACTCTGTATTGACTTTCAACCAACATTCACAGCATAGGAAGAAGTAAGGATGGCGGATACTAATGGACCAATCAAAGCTCCGCAAGATGTTGCAATCGTTGGCCTCTCGTGCCGCTTTTCAGGTGACGCTACGAATGCTGACGGTTTCTGGGAGATGCTCTGCAATGGAAAATGTAAGAACACAGTTGGAAAGACTTAAGAGATTGAACTAATACTGACATTGGATCCGCAGCTGGGCATTCAGAAACTACAAGATTCAACCCAAAAGGTTTCAGTGATCCTGGGTTCAGGAAGCACAACCAGAGCGCGACGGCTCACGGCCATTTTCTACAACAAGATGTTGGCGCTTTTGATACGGGGTTCTTTGGGATCACTCCTGAGGAAGCTTCGGCGATAGACCCACAGCAGAGACTGATACTGGAGGTTGCATACGAGGCTTTCGAGAATGCGGGGATTACCACCCAACAGCTTGCAGGTTCGAAAACGAGTTGTTTCATCGCCTCCTTCACGTCCGATTACAGGGAGATAATTTTTCGGGACCCAGATGCAGCTCCTCGCTATACAGTCACTGGCACTGCTGTGTCTATGCTGGCCAATAGAATATCCTGGTTCTTCGACCTCAGAGGCCCCAGTGTAGCACTCAACACTGCTTGCTCATCGAGTTTGGTGGCACTACATCTTGCCCGGAGGAGCCTGCAGTCAGGAGAGGCTGATATCGCAATTGTCGGGGGAACAAATCTCATGCTCGGTCCAGAGATGTTCACGTTCTTCTCGAACCTCAACTTCTTATCCCGCGATGGGCTTTCGAGGAGCTTTGACGCTTCCGGTGAAGGCTATGGTCGCGGAGAAGGAGTCGCTGCCATCATCCTAAAGCGGGTTGATGACGCACAAAGGGATAACGACATAATCCGTGCCATTGTGAGAAGTACCGCGACCAACCAAGACGGCAAGACCAAAGCTATCACTCTGCCGAGCCTTGATGCTCAGGTCGACTTGATACACTCAGCATACTATGAAGCCGGGCTCAATTTCCATGACACAACCTATTTTGAAGCACATGTAAGTTGATACGGCCGCCACTGCTTTCATTAAGCTTACTTTCATCCAGGGAACTGGCACACGCCGTGGTGATCCGGTAGAGCTTGAAGCCATTTCAAAGACGTTGTGTCTTGACCGAGCAGAAGATTCAAAACTCATCGTAGGTTCAGTGAAGTCCAATGTAAGTTCAGCCTCGCTATCTATGAGGCATGAAACAGCGAGTAACTGTTCCAGGTCGGTCATACCGAAGCAACAGCAGGCCTGGCTGGCATAATTAAAGCGATATATATGCTGGAGAAAGGCCTGATTCCTGCAACAATTCATTATAACAAACCTCTCCCCGAATTCGACCTCAGCAGCTCCAAATTGACGATTCCAGTCGAAACGAAGCCTTGGCCGGCTACACCACTACGACGCATCAGTGTTGGCTCAACTGCCTTCATCAAAGTGTTTACGGTGCTGACTTATTACAGATCAATTCATTTGGATTCGGAGGGGCCAATGCCCACGCTGTGCTTGATGATGCACAATCCTATTTGGCATCCAGAGACATACAAGGAGCAAGCCTTCGTACAAAGATACAACCGCTGCCAAATATAAACGAGGGAATGGCTAACGGTAATGGAAAACCTGCAGATCTAAAGTCACTAACAAATGAGCTGTTTTTCGTCTTCAGCGGTCCGGACCAGCAGGCTCTAGAGAGGAATCTTAAAGTCATAGCTCAACACCTTCAGACTAAGACTTTCTCTGATCTTGGGTCCGAGTCCGAATACCTTCGAAATCTGGCATATACTCTGTCCGAACGACGCTCAATGTTCAGACTGAAGGCTGCGATAGTGGCAGTATCAGTCGATCAACTCGCTTCCAGAATTCGAGAGCGATGCATTGTGCGTATCGACAAACACGTAGCGGTACCGACCAAGTCCAATCTAGCGAACGGAAATGAAGGCAAAATCACGCGACGCCTTTTGACAGACCTCCCTTCATACGCGTGGGACCATTCGCGGACATACTGGGCTGAAAGTCGAGCCTCAAAAGAATTTCGACATCGAAAACACCCACAGCGAAGCCTCATTGGAGCACCTCAACCAAGCTACGGAGAGGATGAACACATCTGGAGAGGATATCTGCGCCTATCAGATGAGCCGTGGGTCAAGGACCATCAAGTTCTGGGTGCCATCGTATACCCGGCTGCTGGATACATTGCAATGGCGATCGAGGCGGCACGGGATATCGCCGACAAAGGTCGAGCGATAAGTCGTTACACTCTACGTGACGTGCAATTCCACTCTGCAGCTGTCATCAAAGAGGACGTTCCGCTCGAGTTGATCATTCAGCTGCGGCCTCATCGTACCGCTACAAGAGCAACATCCGCATCCTGGCTCGAGTTTGCAATCTCTTCCTGTCACAACGAAAGAAACATGCGCGAGAATTGTTTTGGTCTCCTATCCATCGAGTATGAAGCTGCAGACGACTCGCCCTTCTCATTAGAACAATCACAGGAGGAAGATCGTATCTTGAAGCAGTACGAGCGCGCCCATGGAAAATGTGGTATCAATCAGAATCCAAAGGCATTATACGAAGAGTTGGCCTCTGTTGGTCTGAACTACGGCCAGGCTTTCCAGCAAATTTCCAAGGTCACGAAGTCAGAAGGCTGTAGCTCTTGCCAGGTAGAGCTCTATACACCCGATCGCATTCCTGATGGAGATTTGCGTCCCGTCATCCACCCGGCCACCCTCGATTGTATGATACAAACCATTTTCCCCGCTCTTGTTGGCCACCGCGCTCGAATGCAAGCGGCGATGGTCCCTACGCTCTTGGAACACATGTCCGTCTCCGCGCAAACGCCTACCTCTACCGGAACCTGTTTCCGCGGCTTTTCTACAGCAAAGTATGGCGGGGCACGAGATGGTTGCCGACTTTGCGATGCTGGACCACGAGACATCGAAACCGGTAGTCATTACCACGGGTCTGCGTTGCACCGCCATTTCCGAGTTACCAAAGCCTACAGTTGAAGCGAGCGAAGTTGGAGGGTGAAGCATTTGCTCTCGGCTTATGTGGACTCCAGCGATGGACATCCTTTTACCAGCTAAGCAATCGCAAGTAATTCAATCAGCTACCTCGCTCCACAAGCTTCGAAATGTGCGTCTCGGTTTTTTTTTTTTTTTTTTGCCCTTCTCAAGTCGGCGGTAATGGGCTCACTGACGATTTCATAGTTCATCCAAATGCTGGCGTTCTCTCGAACCAAGCTTTCCGTGCTAGAACTCGGTACTGCCTCTCAGGATGCGGTTCTGGCCATGATGTCGTCTTTGTCCCATGAGCTGCTGGTGTCTGGAGTGCTGAAGTACACATTCACGTGCAGTGATGAGCATGACTTGCGCAGTGTCAGGGAGAGCCAGCTGTCACGACATGGAAATAAAGTGGCCTACCAAGTGCTCGACCTGAAAAAAAGCTATGAATCACAAGGTTTTCAAGATAGGACGTTTGATGTTGTTATCCTGTCAGACCCGTCATCGGCAATGTTAATTTCGCCGGCTGTGCCAGCCTTGCGGAAACTTTTGAGTCCTACGGGGAAATTATGTTTGCTCGGAGCGCTGGATACGGTCAACGGTAGGGTGGGGACCGTGGGGCTGAGAAGCACTCTGGAGCCTCAGAATTTGGTTATTGACTTTGCCGAGCGAGACTTTGGAGATCCGTACCAAGGTTATGAACTTGTGGTTGCGAGCTGGAAGCCTGATGAAAATCAAGGAGCTCGGGATCAAGATATCTTGGTCTTAGAGGGAGACCAGCCATGTGCTGCAGCCTTGTCCGACGCACTCCTATCTCTGGACCCGGCGAATGGGTCGTACATCCCGATTCCGAGGAGGCTTCTACGATCTAGTTTTCAGGATATGGAAGGCAAAATCTGCATTGCGACACTGGAAATGGGCCAATCTTTCCTTGCGCATGCGACTCCTGAGGACTTCGCCTCGTTCAAAGAGATTATTCGCCGCTGCTCCAGTGTGGTTTGGGTCAGCTCCTCTGATGACCCAATCGGCAGCATCGTGACTGGCCTGGCCCGTACGATGCGGAATGAGAATGCGGCTTTGGTGTTTCGCTCATTGCAAGTGCCTTCGAAGGATATGCACAGTCCGGATTACCTTGCAGAGATTGTTTCGCGCTTAGCCACCTCGTCATGTACAGACAATGAATTCAAGCTTGATGAGGGTATTTTGAAGGTGTCCCGGATTCTGCGAGACCCTGAGATGGACGGCATGGTTGCGTCAATGACCATCGAAGGTGGCGCACAAATCAGAACATCTACATTGAACCGAGTCGGACGGGCCCAGAAACTTGCTCTTCCCCGCCAAGGAATGCTCGACGACATTTATTTTGAGGCAGATGAGGTGGCGGATGGGCCCCTGTTGGACGACGAAGTGGAGATTGAAATCAAGGCTTCTGGAATCAAGTATGTCGACCCGTTCATCTTTCCATATGTGGTCCGTCACTAATGAACTGTAACAGCTTTCGAGACGTCCTCGTGATGATGGGAAATATTGCTGATAATCTCATCGGCCACGAAGCGAGTGGCATCATCTCACGAGTTGGAAGAAAAGTCACCTCGTTCCGAGAAGGTGACCGAGTTTGCACAATTGGCCACGGCTGCCACCGATCCGCCTACCGCACCGCAGCAAATCTGGCTCACAAAATCCCTGACGGCATGTCCTTCGAAGAAGCCGCGACCGTACCTTTGGTATACTGCACAGCATACACCGCGCTCGTCGCAATTGCTCGTGCGCAGAAGGGCCAAACGATTCTCATACATGCCGCCGCAGGGGGAGTCGGTCTGGCTGCGATACAAATTGCAAACCACCTAGGACTAGAGGTCTTTGCCACTGTGAGCTCTCAGCCAAAGCGGCAGTTGATCCAGGATCATGGTGTCATGGAGGATCATATCCTCAACTCGCGTGACACGAGCTTTGCAAAAGGTGTTATGCGAATGACGTCTGGCCGTGGTGTGGATATCGTGCTGAATTCCCTTGCTGGAGAACAGCTTCGGCTATCCTGGCACTGCCTGGCCCCTTTTGGCACTTTTGTCGAAATCGGTATAAAGGACATCACAGCCAACAGCCGCCTCGACATGAGTCCGTTTGCAAAGGATGCCACCTTCGCTGCCTTCGAGATCATTAACATACTGCACCAAGACTCGAAACGAATGGCAAATATCCTGGCCGACGTCTTCCGGCTGCTACAGAATAAGTCTGTCAAACCCGTGAAGCCTCTGCTCAGTAAGCCAAACTCGCAAGTCGGAGAGGCACTCCGTCTTTTGCAGACCGGGAAGCATATGGGAAAAGTCGCTCTTATTTGGGATCGAGATCAGACCATTCCGATGGCCATGACAGCCCCAAGGCCAGTATTACAGGAAGCCGCAACCTACGTCTTGGTAGGAGGCTTCGGAGGGCTTGGCCGAAGCATTGCGAGCATGTTGGCTAACCGCAGTGCTCGTCACCTTTGCATCCTTTCACGATCTGGAGCGCAGTCCCAAGAGGCCCTCGAAATTGTCCAGAAACTCGAAGATCAGGGCGTTCAGGTCCGCTCTTTCGCCTGCGATGTTTCGGATGAGAGATCCCTTCGAAACGCCATCGAAGCTTGCAAGGCGGAGATGCCGCCGATTCGCGGTGTCATACAAGGCGCCATGGTCCTTCTCGATGTCTCTTTCGAGAAGATGTCGCACAGTCAGTGGCATGATGCTTTGAGAGCCAAGGTTGATGGCACCTGGAACCTGCACAAGTTCATGCCAAAGGATCTAGACTTTTTCATCATCCTCAGCTCCTTCATGGGTATTTTCGGAAGCCGCACTCAAGGCAACTACGCTGCCGCTGGAGCCTATCAGGACTCACTAGCACATTACCGACGTTCGCAGGGGCTCAAGGCGGTCTCGTTGGATCTTGGTCTCATGCGTGACGTTAGCAACTTCTCCAAAAAAGAAGCTCTATCTGGGCCGTTCAGGGACTGGCAGAAACCTTTCGGGCTTCGAGAAGTAGATGTTCATGGGCTGTTGGACCACATTATTGCAAGCGAAACAGGTGCAATTCCGACTCATGTCCCAACGCAGGTCCTCACAGGCTTCGGGACTGCAGACGAAGCGGAGAAGGCAGGCATCGAGCCTCCGTACTATTTAGATGAGAAGAGATTTGCGCTACTGCATACCAGCATCGCTGAGATACGACAGGATTCTGCCGCACAAGGAAACCCGGCAGCTACTCCCACGGCAGCAAAGAAAGAGGATTCCGGTGATCTCTTGAAGCAAGCAGGGTCGCTTGTGGAAGCGGCAGACCTGATCCTGGAGTCTTTGATTGTCAAGGTTGCCAAGCACCTGGAAAGAGACGAAGCGGAGATTGATCCCGAGGAGCCCTTGTATACATATGGAGTGGACTCTCTTGTTGCAATTGAGATTAAGAATTGGATCATGAAGGAATTCGCATCGGATGTGGCTTTGCTTGACATCACGGCCGAGGAGCCGGTCTTCGAGCTGGCGGAGAGAATTGCTGTAAAGAGCAAGTTTGTGTCTGTGGCCGCTTGATTTTTGTCAGTTCCGAGGTGTACCTAGCTATGTACACATAATGGAATATGGGAGAATCGGGCAGCTTTCTACGCTTGTTGGATGCATCGTCATTTGTACGTAGAGATAAATTGTACGGTACGGCAAAATATGCCCCTATCATGATTTTCTGTGCCTTTTGTTGCCTCTTATCCTGCTGCGTCTACGTAACCACCGGGTCAGGAGACTCGAAACGAGATTCGGATTGTATGGAGGTTTCTCTTGCAGCCTCGCTATGCGAGCATCACGAATTGTCAGGGATGAGGGCTTGTGAGCTACGTGTGTGGGAGTAGAGGCTGTTGCATAGCGAACAAGCAGGCTATTAAAAAGAGAGTAAATTGTGAGTAGGGAGCGTGCAAGCAGGGAGCGTGCAAGCAAGAAGAGGTTTAGTAGTCTCGTATAAACAAAACGGGTCACGTGGCGGGGTCTGTTTTATACGAATATTCTATTAATATTATATGGATTATGATTTTCTACTAGGGCAAATTTCAAGTGCTTTTGTAATTTTCCATTTCTTGGTTTTGGGTTGTGGGTTGTGGGTTTTGGGTTTTGCATTTCTTGGTTTTGGGTTTTGGGTTTTGGGTATTGGGATTTGGGATTTGGGATTTCGGATTTCGGATTTCGGATTTCGGATTTTCGGATTTTCGGATTTACCACCTAAAATCCGTCCCTGCCTTACTTACGGGAAGCCGTACTGCCTAGAGCCTCAGATATAAGGATTAAGTAAAATGATAGACATCACTTCATTGTTGCTTCTACCGCTGTTGTTCCACATATACGACCCTAGACAGCAGGGTCCATTCCTGTCTTTGTACTATTATTAGTTAGGAAGCTGGCGTTTCTTGTCTTCTCGGGGTAACATTAACTTGGGGTGTGCACTGACTCGGGATCTCGGTTATCTTTACGGAGTATTTATTTCGCACTTCTGGTAAATTAATTTGTCCACGATGCAGGCCAGCATTTGCAACATACCAATGAACCAATTTGACAAGGGGCTGCTTAATCAAGGCTAGGTAGTCCGGGAGTTAACGGCCTTAAGCTTTTCGGCGTCGATCCCAAGGGCGTGCGGCTTAAAGTTGAACCAACCATGCCTCGTCCAATGGTAAGACCACCGGTAACCAGCCGTGGGAAGCCCCCGAACACATCATTTGCTGCATGTTAAAAGGACCACTAATTTTCGTCCAGTGCAAAGTTAATCTTCACTCTCTTGTCCAAGGGAACCCTTTTGCGAAGTCTCGTAGTAGCATAGCAGGACACGAGAAACCAGGCTACGAGAAGTTCGAATTATCGCATACTGGGAATAATACGCATGATCGAGTTTGAACATGAACTCTACACCATCCACCGAGTCTCAGCTCGAGAATGGCACCTTGAAGATGGAAGGCTCATCTACGACTGAAGTTCCGATCGTATCGCTCAATTCATCCAACGCCAGCAATCATGATGCAGCACCGTCAGCGGATGCGGGTCCAAAGAAAGAACTTGAAGACAGCTTGGTATTATGGGATGGACCAGGCGACCCAGAAAACCCTCAGAACATGCCTCAGTGGAAGAAATGGATGATCACCTGGCTCCTCGCTTTTCTGAACGTCTGGGTGACATTTTCGAGCACGATTTTCGCCTCAGCAGTTACGACCACATCGCAAGAATATAATGTATCGAGAGTAGTGATGACGCTTGGCGTCAGTCTCACAGTTCTGGTGAGTCTTCATCGCGGCCGTAACCTTTCCGTGGCAAGACGAGCTGACAGTCTAAACAGGGCTTTGCCGTTGGTCCTTTGATATGGGCCCCTATGTCTGAAGTCTACGGCCGACTTCTACCGTTCTACTCTGGGTATGCAGTCTTTTGCATTTTCCAGATCCCCGTAGCGGCGGCGCAGAACCTGCAAACCATTCTCATTTGTCGGTTCTTCATAGGCTTCTTCGGCACTGCAGCAATGGCGGTCACTCCCGGAGTCTTGGCGGACGTTTTCAGTCCCAAAGATCGTGGCGTGGCAGTCTCAGTGTACGCAGCGGCTGCCTTTATCGGTCCAATCTTTGGCCCAATTGTCGGCGGCTTCATTGTCGACTCCTATCTAGGCTGGCGGTGGACCGCTTGGATTACCCTGATACTGGCCTCGGCTTTTGGAATTGCCTCTCTGATATTGGTCCCGGAGACGTACGGCCCCGTCATACTTCAGCGTCGTGCAGCGCGTCTGCGAAGAGAAACTGGCAACTGGGCTTTGCACGCTGCCCTCGACGAAAATGTTCCCACACTCAAAGACATTGTCTTCAAGTACTTCCTCCGGCCCTGTCAGATGCTCGTGAAAGAGCCTATCCTTTTGCTCGTCACGATCTACATCTCTCTCATTTACGGCATTTTGTACTTGTTCTTTGTTGCATACCTCGGGTATCGAGGTTGGTCAAATTCTGGCGTTGCGTCTCTGCCGCTTCTCGCTGTGATGTTGGGCACTCTCGCGGGCTGTCTCGCCATCATGTTTACAACAAAGCATGTATACGAACGCAAAATGGCAAAAATGGGCCGCGTACCGCCCGAGGAAAGGCTCGTGCTAATGATGATTGGAAGTATATGCCTCCCTGTAAGTCACTACCCATCCCTACTTCCAGAGCGTTGAACAAAGAAAAAGTCTCCCTACTCACGACCTTTTCAACAACAGATAGGTCTGTTCTGGTTTGGCTGGACCAGCAGCCCCTCCGTCCACTGGCTGGCGCAAACCTTTGCAGGGTTCCCGATCGGTGTCGGTCTGGCCCTTATCTGGGTCCAGGGCCTGAATTACCTTGTCGACGTTTACCTCATGTTTGCCAACTCAGCACTCGCTGGCAACACGCTCATCAGGAGTGCAGCTGGTGCAGCATTTCCCCTGTTCGGAGGGTCAATGTATCACAGGCTCGGTGTGAGCTGGGCGTCATCATTGTTGGGGTTTTTGGCAGTTGCGATGATTCCGATTCCATTTGCGTTCTACTATTATGGAGCAAAGATTCGGGAAATGAGTAGATATTCACCGAAGTTGTGATTGGGGTCAGACGTTGTCTTCAAGGGGGGCTAGGGTAAGAGGAAGTATAGTAGGAGTATTTCAGATCAGACGGTTGTATGCTGCTATCCTAGAATTGATGGGCCTAGTTTAAGCATCTTGATATTCTGTAATAATACTTTAAAATATTTGGCTTCTTCCAGCCAGGCATCTACTTTAAACAGCCTGCGTTAGGATCAGCAGGCACGCTGCTGCAGGGGGCAACGATATTCTACCTGCCCAGACGCATCATAATATCCATCGTATGGCTTGGACAGCAGCGCCGTAGGCAAATTAACACATGATGCCTCAAGAGTCCCTCTCAACTCAAAATTGGTGTCTTTAGTTTTATAATCTCTACATATGTCGACCACCACTATGGACTTTACATACACATTGTAATCAGGCTTGGCAACGATTAGCGATATCGCCAACCAATAACAATCCTAACGATTGAGAAACGATTTTAAGCGAGCTAGCCCCTATATACAGGGCCAGCTATCGCTTATCGATATTAGGGGCTTCCAGGGCACCTTCTACTTTAATTATATATCACCTTATAACTACTAATTATATTAAGATACCTTTAGTTATAGAATTATTCTGATTAACTGAAACTTTCTAATAATATAGCCCGCTAAGGATTTAGAGTTAATTTAGTCCTAATGCAGCGATAAGGTTAAGAGGAGTAGGAGAGTTTTCGTGAGGCTCGCTTAACTCCCCGAGGCCTCGCCTGGCCCCTCGATACCTCCTATACAAATTTACTATGCAGGGTACTTAGGAAGAATCGATTCCCTAACGACAGTAATCGATTCCTCGCGATTGTTAGTAATACGATTTCGCTATCGATAGGGAATCGATTGGTCAAGAATCCTTGCCAAGCTTGATTGTTGTTATGTAGGTATTCATGGGTGTTGATTGGTTGTCGGAGTTGAGTAAGAGCAGCGGGAACCTCGAAATTCACTTGCAGTAACAACTCTGTTGAAACGAAAAGAACTTTGTAGATTGACTGAGGGAAAGTCCTCCAGATATACATGAAATACCTAGCTAGGTAGGTATTGGGTGCCGAGGAGCATTGCCCTGCTCTTCAACAACGGTGCAAGCAACGCACCCTTAGCTCATTTCAGAACTCCAGCCTTGCGCCATTCCTCAATATATTTTGTCACCAGATCCGGAGTTATGACTCCCCTTGATCTCAACGTGTGCGAACGTTCCCTGCTCTTGGCAGTATCCAGCACCAAGTCACCACATGACATCCTCAAGAAATGCTCATCAAAGAATTCCACCACCTGTTTTGCCGGATTTTCTGTCGTCGGGGCCTTGGAGTCGCGCACACGTTTGACCCAGTCGTGGAACGGGATAATGTGTGCATAGGGTACGCCAAGCGCATCAGCGAGCACGCGTATCATGTCGTTGTAGGATTGTCGAGAAGGGTTTTCAATGTGGTAGATTGGGTACGCCGCGGCGCCAAGGCGCGTTTGCTTGTCGTCGTTGTTGTTTTCCAGTAGTAGTTCACCAAGCGTCGCGGCGACGGTGTCGACAGGACACCAGGTCAGGTGCCCGCGCAGGTCAGGCAGCGCGTTCAGTGTCTGGCTCGACTTGATGAGAAAGACGAGGCAGGCTTGGCAGTAATACCTAATTTCTGGTATCGATAGGTATCGATGCCAGAATCGTAAGGTATCGATACTATCGATTCCGTATCGATTCCTATCGATTCCCGGAACCCAATTCCCCCCTTTAATTGCAATTGACTTTAGAACCACTTCCCTTATAAGAAAGCTTTTGGTAGCGCAAATATTCTACTTAATTTAGGCTTTCTATTTAGCTACTTATCTTATAGTTTAGACTAAAACTCGTCTCAATGCGGCTATTTTAAGCAAAAAATAGCTTTTGAGATTTTCGTGAGGCTCGCTTATAATAAGCGTTCCGATAAGAGATACGAATACGATACTAAATTTTCCGAATACGAGAGCTTTTTTAAATTAAAATAATATTAGCTTTTATTAATAATATTAAGTAATTCCTTTAATAGAAAGACTAGAAAATAAAGAAATTATATATAAATATATTATTATATAAATTAAATAATAAATGGAAGAGATAATTTAAGGCTAAGTATCGATTCGGTATCAATACCTTATCGATACCAAAAGTATTTTTGCCAAGCCTGAGACGAGGTGCTCGTTGCCGTTCCAGTATCCGCTGCGTGTCGATCCTGCAATCTGGTTGATGCGGACGGCCGAGGGCGTAAATGCCTGTGGGAACATGTATAGTGTTGAGTCGAGCATGCGTTCGCACACGAGCTTCGCGTAGCCGTAGCTAGACGGCACGACGGATTCGACGGGCATGCGCTCTTCCGGGACCAGAGTCTTGCCCGTCAGGATTGGGTACATGCCGACGACGCCGATCGAGGATATGAATTGGAAGGCGAATTTGAAGGGCGCAGGGCGTCGCATCGCTGCATCGCGCGCCAGGTCGATGAGGTTCCGCATGACTCTGAATTGGCCTTCGTAGCTGCGGACACCGCGGTTGATGCTCATGGGCCAGGCGTTGTGGACGATGTCTGTGGCCGAGTCGACGAGGGCTGCGTACGCAGCGGTGGATAGGCCGAGTCGGTCCTTGCTTGCATCGGTTTCAATCACTTGTAATTTGGAGTTTGCGGTTGCATCGAGCGATATGCCCTTTGCGCCGAAGGCCTTTTCTTGACGTGCAAAGCCTTCTGACTGACTTGTACGGTTGAAACAGACTACCCTAGTGACGTCTGGCCGTCCTGCACAATGTGCGACTAAGTGAGCGCCCAAACTTCCCGTTGCACCCGTGATGAGTACGCATCTACCTGCTGGAGAGTCGTGGCCGGCTGGTAACCTCGAACTCCGCCGAAAAGAAAAATTTGCCGTAAAATCGCGCACATAGGAATCAATGACCACTGCTTGCTCTGCTACATCAACTGTCATTATGGAATCGGGTCGTGGTGGGGGAGGGGTGCGGTCATACGCTGGATCAGAAGCCATAGCGAAAATCAGATTCTGAATCTTTGCTTCGGGGCGGCGCCCATCTGTCCAGTCGACGTGGCCAAAGCCGACAGACCTCAGTATCTTTTCCCAGTGTTGTGGGCTCTGCAGAGCGTGTTGTCGCCCGTCTTCAAACAACCACCACCCTTCGACCAACCCAAAGATGACATCGGCCCAAAGCAGTTGCGAGGTCAGCTCGTGGTATATGATGCAACCATCCGGTCGTAACATCTTGTGGATGTTTGACAGCGAGACGGACAGGTCACGAGTCGCATGAATGACATTGGAGCCGAGGACGATGTGCTGGGTGTTGAGCAGCTTCACATCCGGCTGCTTTTCGATATCGACCGTCTTGAATTTCATGAAGGGGTGTTCCTTGAACCTCGATCGCGCTGTGGCCGTGAAGAAGGAGCTGACATCGGTCATGGTGTATTCAACCGGTATGCCCAGACGAGCCAATGCAGGGACTACCTTCATAGTCGTACCTCCGGTACCTGCCCCAACTTCTAGAACTCGAAGGGGTCCAGCATCTTTGGGCCATGTGTTGCCAATCTCCTCGATGAATACCTCGAGCTGTTGCAGGATTGTGCTGCTCAAGGTTGATGTGGCGTATAGTTTTGTTAGAAGAGCGCGACCTTCGGCGGAGCCGAACAGCAATGGCAGTGCATCCGCCTTCCCAGCGAGGCATTTTCCAAATGCTCTACCGGTTATTCTCATAAGCTGGAGTTCTGCATCTTGTGCAGGTCTGTCGCGAAGAAGATTCTCCAGCATAGTCTCGGTGTCGTTGCTAGGACAAGCAACGGATGTGCGAGTGATTTCCTCGCCGTTGATCTCAATCAAGCCAGCGTTCTTCTCCAAAGCTCCGTACATGTAGTCGACAACCTTTTTGTGTCTTGGAAGATGTTGGATGCGCTCGAGCTTTGTGCCGGCTGCTGCAGTTCGGATTGGACATCCGAGATCTTCAAAGGCATTGCAGAAGATTGCGATCGATAACTCATTCGACCTCGGCATGAACTCGGCGCAGTAGGTTTCGAACTTGTTTTTGACAATAAAATCGTCACTGGCCTCTTTGATGCTGCGGAAGGCGTCCAAGACAGTGGCCGAGTTGAGTGGCACTTCCTTTTTGGAAGACACGTCTCCATTACTGTCGGGATGTCCATTTACCCCATTTACCTGAGGTGAATCTTCTTGCAGTTCTTCGTCCTCACTGTCGTCGATTTCGCTCTCGGACTCATCTTTCTCGTCTTGTATGCCGGCGTCGCCACGAACGTCCCGGATGTATTTGACAAGACTGGCAAAATCGGTAAGATCTAGCATCTGCTCCGCATCCAAGCTCACCTTGAAAACGTCCTCAGCATCTCGTATCAGCTCCATGCTCAAGAGTGAATCAAGACCGAGGTCAATGAGATTAGAGTCGTCGTTGATACTGCTAGCTTCGATGCCAGTAAGATTCTCCAGGATGCTGCGAGTCTTGGTTGGGGTTTCCGAATCAGCCCCCCTGGAGAGCTTCTTTGCGGCCTTCTTGGTTGCTTTGACTTTCGTTGCCTTCTTTGGCTTTTCGGGCAGTGTATGCCCATTTGTCAAGGTCGGCAATGGGTTGAGCGGCTTGAAGTTGACTTGTGGTTGTTGAGAATCATATTGAGTGTGGGAAGGTATCTCGCCGTTCATCACAACAGGCTCGGATTTCTTTGTCGGAGCCTGACCACCTAGAATGCCACGCATCACGGACAACGGGACCCTGTTGTAGCTGGCACCTAGGACTACCTCCACTAGAGATCCGTTGAGGGCGTCAAACGCGAAGATATCGCTGACATACTTCTTGTCCGAGACAGGATGATGGACCGCATAGACTTCCCAATTAGTTGGGAGAGACTCGTGCGTCCGAATTTTGGGTGATCGGAGCCAACGATCAATGGTTTCGCACATGAAGATTCCTCGCTCGGTAACGGTGGCATTGTCTGTCATCAGGTTGACGTACATGCCTGCTGTCTGTCCGAGGCCATCAAACAAGAGATAATCGAGCCAAGTCTTGCCGTAGTGAGTTTTGACCACCTTTGCCGCCGATTCATTCTTGTGTCCAACTAGTTTCTTCACAAATTGATAGTCATCCGTATAGTCAATGACCTCTGAGAAAGCTCTGTAAATGTTGGCGGTGCCCTGCATCACATTCTCAACATCCCTAGCTTCAAGGAGTTCGACACAGCGCATCCTGCTACTAAGACGTTCCAGAGTTTCGAACTCGGCGAGGTACCGAGGATCAGTTGCTGAACTGAAGGAGCAAAATCCCGAGGTGCAGCGTGTTGCCTTAGACCCGGACTGGTTCGTCGCATTGACTTTCCACTCCCAGACAAGCCCATTATCGTCTTGTGCCTCAAAGTCAAGCCAATACTGCTTAGAGTGGTCCAATAAGAGCGGCCTGTGATGTACGATGCCATTGATCTGCAGTTGATAGCTCAAGTCTTTGAATTCTTCTCGAAGATTCATCAAGGCATCAATCACCATGTCCATCTGGATGGAGCTGGGCCACACAGCTGCGACGCCTGCACAGATATGGCCATTGACGTGTCGTTGAAATGTTTCGTGCGTCGTGTTGATCTTGAACCGTAAAGAGCGCTGATTTTCATCGAGATAGCCCGCGAAAGTTGTGAACCCTTTTGGCGGGTCAATGATTGGAGCGGCGGCCTTTTCGACCGTGATAGTCTCGGGCTTCGGTGGCTTCTTTGTTTCCAACCAGTGCCGTGACTTCTCGAATTGGTAAGGGGGAAGGATGACTGGCGTGTACTGGTGTGTTTGGGAGCGGTGATGCGGCCAAAAAGTGACGTTCAGCTGTTCTTTCCAAAGTTTCGCAGTTGTGTCGACGAGCAGTTCGAAGGAGTTGTCCGTGGTAATATTCACAGCATGGAATGATGAACTTGAAGAACCTGACGAGTTAAGGGCTCGACTAGCCATGGTCGTGATCGTAGAATTGGAGCCAGCTTCCAGCCAAATGGCGGCAGGGAATTCTTTGGTCAGTCTTTGAACTGCGTGGTCAAAGTACACAGGATTCCTCATGTGATATGCGACATAACCTGAATCTGGCTTCTCGGCCGTCCTGCCCTCAGTGGCCCTTTCAAATCGTATCGTAGGGTCGTTGAATCTGATACCCTTTCCGAGACTCTGCAGCTCGTCATGTAAGTTGTCGACAAGCACAGAGTGGAAGGCGTTGGTGATATTCAGTCTCTTCGATCGCATGTTCGAGAAACTAGGATCCCGCTTCGCGATAGCTTCAGCCAGCTCGATTGCCTTTGTTGTCCCAGCTAGTGTAAAGCTTCGATGACCATTGTAGCATGCGATAGAAGGATCGCTGCCGTTTCCGCTCTTCGCTAGCAGGTCCTTTACACTCGCAAGCTCTGCATCCACAGCCATCATGGCTCCGGAGTCATTGCCCCATTTCTTCTGAATCAAGCGAGCTCGGCCAGCGACCATCTTGATCACATCTTGGAGCGAGACAGCACCGAAGACGCACGAAGCAGTCAGCTCCCCAAAACTGTATCCTACAACAGCAGCAACCTCAACTCCGCAAGCTATCCAAGCCTGGGCGCAAGAGTATTGCATTGCGAAGAGTGCAAGCTGGAGATTGACCAGGTCAGATATGGAAGTCCTTTGGAAAATGTGCGGATAAATGCTTGGGAAACCCAATGAAACACAGGTGGCATCGCATTGGTCCAGAAAGCCGCGAAATATTGCCGCGTTTTCGTAGACCTTTTGGTCCAAACCGATGTAAGTGGAGATTTGGCCGCCAAAGCATAGAATAACGGGCTTTCGGGATGCAATTGCAGACGATGCCATGGCCGTACCGCCCTTCTCGAACGCTGTGAGTTTGGACTCTAAGTCGGACGAAGAGTTGGCTTTGAAGATCGAAACTTGTGGAAGGTCACGGTTGGTCTGGAAGGCCAACTGGAAGGACAAATTGCGCACTGACAAGTCTTTCTTCGAAGAAGAATGCCGTTGAATCCAGGCCCGAAATTTTGCAGCATACCTTTGGATGCTTTTGTCATCAAGTCCAGGAATCCAGAATGGGAATGTTTTGCCTTTCAACAATTCACGGCCATCCGGCCCAGAAGCAGGCGGCTCCGTGACCACCAGCGAAGAGTTGGACCCTGAAGCTCCATAATTGTTGATGAGAGCAATCCGCGTTTCGGGTTTCCACGGGGTCAAACGGGTCGGAATTTCGATGTTGTCCTGTGGTGTTGCTTTGATAGCCGGGTTGATGGAACGAAAGCTTGCCTGTGGAGGAATCACCCCTTCGTGCATCATCAACAGTACCTTGAGAAGTGAGCACACGCCAGAAGCACCTTCGGTGTGACCAAACAATCCCTTGACAGACGATAGGGATAACGCATCAGTGCGTTGGGACCCTCCCAAGATCCTGCAGATAGCCTCGTACTCTGCTGGGTCACCAACTGGCGTACCTGTGCCATGCGCCTCGACTACCGACACCCTTGTCGGATCGATACGGGCCTGTTTGGTAATATCCCGGAATAGGGTAGCCAATGAATCACCATTAGGCACCGTGATTGTCGTTGACCCGATATTCTGGTAAACCTTGGAACCCGCGATGACGCCGTACACCTGATCGCCGTCTGTGATGGCGGTAGACAACTTCTTCAAGAAGACAAGACCAATTCCATCACTTCTGCAGTAGCCATCAGCGTTGGCGTCGAATGGCTTGCACTGCCCTGTAGGACTGAGGAATTGCGCGCCCGACAGATTCTCGTACCACTCCACGCTTGATAAGAGATTACTTCCACCAGCAAGAGCAGCAGTAACTTCGCCACTAAGGATGGAACGACAAGCATAATGGATTGCCACGCAGGAAGACGAGCATGCAGTATCGAGGGTAAGGATAGGGCCAGTCCAACCGAAGTGATGGCTAATCTTGCCGGCACACATGCTCTTTAGGCTGCCTGTAGCTGTGCAGGCATTGGGCGCGTAACAGTTGACGCTACTTGCATAGTCGACGTGTCCAGGTCCCAGGAAGCAGGCAATGTGTTTATTGTAGTCCGGCTTCGAGAAGTAGCCAGCCTGCTCCAGGGCCTGATATGCAGCATGCAATAGTAATCGATGTTGCGGCTCCGTGTTCAAAATTTCCCGAGGCCCCTTCTTGAAGAATTTATGATCGAAAACGTCATAATCCTTGATCAGATTACCGTACCACTTGGTCTTGGTGTACGGCTCCCTCCAAGGCGTCTCGAATTGGAATCGGCCGGTGCCCCGAGGCAATTCCTGATGCTGGGATTGTCCAGCAACCAAAATCTCCCAGAACTCGTCCGTGTCTTCACCGCCCGGAACGTTGCAGGCCATGCCAATGACGGCAACTCTTTCGTCGTTCGGGTCATCAACAATAGGTAGCTGCTGTGGCTTCGCCGACCCATTCGCTAATGTCGGGACTGTTGTTCCATTGACAGAGGGTGTGATGACCGACCGAAATAGCTGCTTGGGCAGTTCGGAACTAGATAGATCCAAGTCCAAGACATGGGTCAATTTTGAGCCCAATCTGCGCACCAATGCAGGCGGCACGCAACGCTCCGGCCCAAAACAGGTCACTGACTTTATTCTTTCGGCCGAGTCGGAATCATAAGCGTTGGCGATGGTTTTATGCCATTGAGACAGGTCGACAAGGATCGCACGCAGCGCTATTGTATGTAGGTTTCCATCGCTTTCGGTGATGTATTGACCCCCAGTAATTGAGCGGCTTGGTAATACCATTTTGGATGGATGAGGAAATTGAAACTGGGCATGTTGATCACAGTATTGTACCAGCTCCAGGAGGGTGCTCTCGTGCCCGTCCCAGTGGAATCGTCCACGCATGGAGACTTCGGCAACGTAAAGACCGGATGACCTGAGTTGTTGCATATGATTTAGGGCTGTCGATTTGGACGTCGTGATAGTGGAGCGTTTCTCGTCAACCGCAACCGAAACATATGCCTGATAAAGCTTTTGATCAGATTGTGCTCATATAGATCGTCTTGAGGGCGTTTGACTTACCTCTGGAATGGCTTTCAACGTATCGAGCATCAAGTTGTGTAACTCGGTGGATTTCCAGAATACCGAGAAAGACAAGGCTCTTTCCTCAGGATTCCGTGACAGGTCTTCTGCATCTCCCACAGCTCCGACAAGCATCGCAAGTCTGATTGCAACAGCGCCATACTTTTCAACGTCAGAAAGAGTCGACGACGAGGAAATTGCAAAGGCGCTCAGAGTGCCTAAAGAGAGGCCAAGTGTCTCCAGAGATTTCTTTGCTGCCGCGGGAAGCTCTTGGTCGTCGTCCAAGTCGGGAAAAGCTGAGTGTAAGAAGTCCAGATATGAAATCACATGGTCGGTCACTACCAACGGAGCCAGAAGGACGTTCGGAAAGGGTACTGTCGATGGTGGGACATGACCTGTCTTCAGCCATTCGTTCAGGTCCTGTAAAAGCTTTCCACCATCATATTGCTTCAATATCGCAACACTGCTGGAGACGGCGTTCCATTCGGTAGGTAATGTAGCTATCGCATTCAGAGCCCATTGACCACGACTGTTCTTGACCAGTCTAGAGCGCAAAGTGTTGAAGGAACCGAGGTCGAAGCTCATTGCCTGAGGACCAAATATCAAGGCCAAGATGGCAGACTGTGATAGCGATTGCGGCGCCATTGTTCCGGACGGCGGTCAAACGAACGCGAGAAAGGATTTGAGTTGGGTATAGAACCGGCGTGGAACCTTAGAATCTGATGAAGGAGGAAGGATATTGCTGGACCAGGCAGTTACAACACAAGACTGCATCAAGCGTGATCAGAGAGCGTGTTGAAGTGGCGTGGTTGCTTCTGCTTCCGACTCCAAGACTTTATTCTGGCTTCCATGTCGACTATAGAAATATACCATCTAGCTTACAGAGGAGAGAACCTGAGTAAAGCCGAATCGATCAAACTGTGGTCATCACGATAGATAACATCGTTTCTCCAAATCTCCGAGCATTATTTGCTCCATGTTCGGGCCCTACATATTCTCACCTACCAACCCGGGTATCTCCTCAGTAGGTCAGCTTTCGTGTTCGGGACAACGTTAAAGTCCTAACGAGCCTGCGCCCGTAAGTCTGTGCTTTTCAGGCCTGAAACCCCCGAAGGAACTTTAAACTTTCTCAATTCCCGGGATTTTGTTTCTAAATTCAAAGCACAAAGATATCAAGCAAATTCTTCGCAGAAAACTATATTTTACAAGGTTCTATTAAGTTCTTGCGTACTACTTAATATTAAACTGCGACTTTTGAAGAAGGAGCAAAAATTAGGCGAAAAAACGAGCCTGGAAACCACAGACTTACGGGCGCAGGCTCGTAAGGCTTCGAAGTTCGATACGGATGCGCCGGTCAGTTTTCTTCTGGGCAGCAAGTATAATGCACGGATGATTGTCAGATTCTAGAAGCTTTGTGTGCTGCGTTGAAGGCAACTTTTATCCGAAACAAAAGCCCGGCTCGATGATGAGGCGCCAGAACCTTAAGGTTACTTAATAATTAAACTGCCGAGTTTCTCAGCCTGCATGCAGCCATACTCCTCCCGGAAGAACGACTATTGCTTGGCGCAGCCTGAACTCGCATCTCAGAATCTGACACCATGACCGCTATCGCTGTGGTCGCCATGGAGCCCCAGTGGATCGAGGACGATGCTGTGCGACTGCTCGTTCAAACTCTAGAAAAAAACACGTTGACGATGGCAAAACTGCTAAGGCGACGGGCGAAAAAATCCTTCCATTTTGATTTGCTGTGCAACCGAGCATTTTTGCTAGCGAACCCCACTAAAACTATTCCCCCGTCGCCTTCGTACAGCGTGTACTCCATAATGGTCTGAATCCTACGGGCTCATCAAATCAGCCGATACTCGTGAGCGGCGCAAGCTTCTGGATCTCGCTTGCAACGCGCGAAACTTCTTTGCGCTTCAATAATACTGTGTCAGGAAAGCCACGGTGATCACTTCTAAGCTTTTATTTCACTTCTTTTCCCCCGAGGAAACGCTGCGCCTAAAGGGGCATGGATTTCACCCAAGCACCTCTCAACATGGATGGAAGTGATTATCAACAGTCGAAGTCAGCTAATCAGTTGCACAGACAAACACCGTGATGTCTGCAATAACAGGACCTCTGCGGGTGTGGTCGTTCATCAAGATCGCGGCCCCGTATAGCTCCAAGACTCCCAGGTTGCATCCAATTCACACCCCATTGCATTTCACCTGTCGATAAAACTTGTGCACAATGCCTGCTGCCAGTGCCACCACATCCTCCTTCTACCTCCCCGATATCAACATCGCCCCTTGGCTCGAAGACCCTGGCAGCCCATCTGGCCAACATGTCGTCAATGAAGTTCGCAGAGCCTGCACATCAACTGGCTTCTTCCAACTGACTGGCCACGGCTTCCCCCCTGCCGTTATAAAGGATATCTTCGCCGCGGCGGCCAAGTTCTTCGCCCTTCCAAAAGAAATCAAACAAGACCTCAACTTCACCAAAAACGCCGGTTTCCGCGGATATGAGCTAGTTGGTGCCCAAGTCTACGAGACCGACGTCCTGCCCGATCTCAAAGAGGGCTTCCTCGCAGGCATCGACTTGCCGCGTGACGATGTGCGTGTGCAGAACAAGCGCTTCTTCGCGGGACAGAACGTCTGGCCATCGCCCGACGTGCTCCCTTACTCGGAGTTTCGCACACCAGTAGAGACTTACTACAAGAGCATCATGCAGCTGTGCTGGACGGTCATGGACCTCATCGCCTCGACGCTGCCCTACGGACCCAACGTCTTCGACGAGTGGAAGGCTCATGAGCCAGCGTGCCCCCTGCGGCTCCTGCACTACCCACCCACCCCGAAGCATGTCGCTGGCAAGACCAGGCAACTCGGCAGCAGCGCACACACGGACTTTGGCGGTGTCACGCTGCTCCTACAGGACTCGCACGACGGCTTGGAAATCCTCGACCGGGAAACGCGTTCTTGGGTACCTGTGCCGCCGAAGCCTGGTGCTTTCGTGATCAACGTAGCTGATATGATGACAATGATTACCGGTGGGGAGTACAAGAGCAGTATGCACCGGGTCATCAACCAGAATGAGACAGATCGGTATAGTGTTGTATTCTTCATGGATGGCAATGTGGATTACAAGTTGAGAAGGTTGGATAAGATTGGTCAGCCAGTAGGCGAGGATGAGGAACTTATAACCGTGGAGGAGTACATGCTTGGGAAGAGGAACACGACTTATGTCAAGTAGGATTGCCCCATGCTCAAAGCACGATTTAATTATGTACCTTGTCGACTTGAACTGAGGATCAGAATTTCTCTTTGAGTTATTTGCTGCCCTGATAATCCTCGATGGAACGTGAATGGCAAAGAGCCAGAAAGACTTCACATATCGAACGGCCGCAGTTCCACGACATTTCAATACCTCGTACCCTTTGTACTCGTTACAAACCACCAATCCAATCAACTGAGAGAAGCAAAGGCGTAGTCTGTCTGTCTATCAACGCGAGATCATTGAAGATGCGAGATCCAATGCAGAAGTTACAAAAGTTTAAACAATCCTTGCTCTCTAACTGAATAGGCCCTTCTGTGAATGAATGGATGTATTCAATTCTGGATTTTACACGACTTTGCGAAGATAAGAACTGAAGAATCGATTCCACGGGTTTGTGAATCGTTGGCTACTTAGAACCCTCCTGGTACTCTCCCGAATGTTGCCCCATTTCATGCTTAAGGAGTTTACCATTAATATGGGTAGGAGTAACATCCAGTAGCACCCATAAAGTGCGACAAGGCCGAGTGGTGGATGGATTGCGGACTTTGTGAGACGGACCGCGCACAAGAGTAGTGTCCCCTGGGAGCAAGACCTTCGACTCGCCGCCATCAAGGCTAAGCTCGAACTCCCCTTCCACGACGATGACAAACGCGAAAAGTGCTGCGCGATGCCAATCGGATCCACCTTCGGGTGCGAAATCCGTCATGCGAAAAGCCACGCCGTTGGGTACGTGTAAGCCTGGCTGAAGAAAACTTGTCAATAATGGCTGTACGCTGCGTCTTGGAACAGCCGGTACACCAAAAAAAGAGGGGGTATTCGTTACCTGGTTCGCAGCAGAGTACTTGATATCTGCATCGTCGTTCATGTTGACGGGGACCTGGTTTGCCTGAAAAAGGTCAAACCGAGCCACTCTTCCGTCTCCCATGGTTGCTTCGAAGTCCCCCTGATCGGCTTTGGTGAAAACACCCTTTCCATTGGCGTCAACGGAGGTCGTAAATCGCGTTGCGGGGCGCAGCCCAAAGTGCGTGATAGGCTCTTTACTCGCCATGATGCTCAAGTGAAACTGCAATATGTAGAAAGAAGGCTTTCGGATTGATGCAACTTAAAGTCATAGACCTGACACAGGCGAACTTTGCGTGGAGATGGTATATATGCCATAGAGAGCCGTTAAGAAATCAGCCATCCCACCGCAACACTGGAACGGATATCATGGGTACCACCTGTGGACCCTGCTATGCAAAGAGGAATCGGCACTATGCAACACTTGCCTTAGTGCTGACACAAAGATGCAGGTAGTTATTTGTCCATGTACCGTTCGCAAGGGCATATTAAAACTCCGCTCGAATTAAGCATGCAGCCGGAGTTAAAGAATTGCCGTTAGCGAGCAACCTCGTCAATGTAGTGTAGGCGTTATTACATAGAGTTTCCTGATGCTAACAACGCTGACATTCGGGGTTAACAGCGGCTTCGGGACTTTTGATTTTCATGTCCTTTAATTCCGTTGGCCAGGCTACTTTTATCCAAAGACTTTAGAACTGATGGCCTGATTGTATTTATGTTGACGTCTGGACCAGGATAGGTAATACATTACAACAAACCAAGTAAATCTTGCCGCTCTGGCTTCGTTCCCAGATCACTTTCACCGTACTTCCATAGGTCGATCGAAAGAGCAAGGAATCCAGCAGCCACAATGGGAGCACCAAAGACCATCATTTGCGAATACTCCTCGTCAGACCCGACCAAGGACTTTGAAGTTCACAATCCAGCTACAGGCGCCGTAATCGCAACCGTACGCGCCGGTGACAAGAGCACCTTGGACAAGGCTGTTCAGGTCGCCCACGTCGCCTTCAAAGAATGGAAAAAGACGCCACTCACACGGCGCTCGCAGCTTCTCTTCCAGTGCGCCGACGCGGTCGAAAAGCATGTTGATGAGCTCGCCGAACTGTTGTGCTCAGAGAATGGCAAGCTCGTTTCCGATGCGCGCATGGTGGACGTCAACTTTGTCAGCGCCGTTTATCGATACTTTGGCTCGCTCGTCGACAAGCTCCCGGGCGAGTTCTACGACTCGGGCTCCGTGTACCGCTCCGTGACCCGCGAGCCGCACGGCGTGTGCGGCGGCATCCTGCCCTTCAACTGGCCGCCCATCCACACGGCCGGCAAGAGCGCGCCCTGCATTGCCATGGGCAACACCATCATCATCAAGCCCGGCGAGCAGGCGCCGCTGACCTCGATGCACATCATCGACATCCTCAACACGGTGCTGCCGCGGGGCGTGGTGCAGTACGTGCCGGGGCTCGGGCCGGAGGTGCCCCAGGCGCTGACGGCCCACCCGCTGGTGAAGATGGTGTCAATCACCGGGTCCACGAGCGCGGGCGCTGCCGTGGTGAGGACGGCGGCGGCTCTCGTCAAGCCGACCGTGCTCGAGCTCGGCGGCAAGAACGCTCTGGTCGTGTTCCCCGACGCCGACCTACATCGCGCCGCGCGAGACGCGCTCGAAGGCGCGTTCTTCAACAAGGGCGAGGCGTGTACGGCGACATCGCGGCTGCTCATCCATCGCGACGTGCACGACGCGTTTGTGGCCAAGCTCGCCGCGGCGGTGCGGCAGCTGCGCGCCGGCAACGGCATGAAGAAAGGCACGCACCTGGGGCCGTGCATCACCCAGGCCCAGAAGGACCGCGTGATGGAGTATATCCGCATCGGCGAGGAGGAAGGTGCCACGATTGCAGCACAGGGGAAGCTCCCAGACGATCCGGAGGAGAAGGACGGCTACTTTGTCCCGCCGACCCTGTTTACCAACGTCACGCGCGCCATGCGCATTGCGCAGGAGGAGATCTTTGGCCCGGTCGTGACGGTATGCAAGTTTGACAGCGAGGAGGAGGCAGTCTCCATCATCAATGAAGTGCGATGGGGGCTGACCTGTGCCATTTACTCTGGCAACCAGGAGCTCGCGCTCCGCATGTGCAGACAGGTCGATGTGGGCATGACATTTATCAACAACTACTTCCGCAACACCCTTGGGATCCCGTTTGGAGGCGTGAAAGAGACGGGCTACGGGAGGGAGCACTGCATCGAGGCAATGAAGGACTGGTCGACGGCAAAGGTGATCCAGATGCCGTCCGGGCTGGCTCCGGTCCCATCGTGGCCTCCGGTCAATGAGCTGTTGCCATAAATGGTCGTGATGGTTTCTTGATTACAGTGCACGGGTAGATAGGTTTGATTTGAAGTTCGGCTTCAACGGCGCGATCCGGGCGTGCATCTGTAGATTGTACTCAACGTACTTAAGTACCAAACGAGACTATTAAGTATAGAACCGGCCAGCCTCTAATAAGGCACTTGCCAAATACAAAGTCAGTATAATACAACAGAGATCTCCAAGCAAGACTTTGTTAGCTGCCATAGACGGGATTCTCCTCTTTAGGTTAGCTCAGCTGCAGAGGCATACTTGCCTTAGATAATAGAAAGAAGGCTTAGAACTCCCAGAATTAGCATAATAGCTAGTTGATTAATGAATTTGTTGCTGTAAGTACAAGAATCCCCCAACAACCAACTTGTCACTTTAAGCACGGCGATCAAGAGTAACTTAAAGCTTCCTTAGCTTGTGGGCCTTGCATCTGCAAGCAACAGACCGCCCTTGTCTAGTGCTAGCAGCGAGTGCTCTTTGCACAAGGATCCTCAACATTGTGATAACCCTTTGGCGCTTCAATCTGAGCTTCTGCAGCACCAACCTCAGCCCCTCCAGCATCATGGCGTAATTCTGCAATATCACCTCCTGCTCGTTGTGGACAAATTCCAAGCTTCGAAGCATCTTGAACAGCCCCTCTCGTGCTAGCGTCTGTGCCAGCTGGGACTCCTTCCCTTGAGACAGTATCTGCAGCAAAGATTCACATGCCGTTGATGCTCGCTCGCGCAGATCCAAGACCGCCGGGACCAGAGACATGACCTCTTGAGCAGCGCGCTGGATAATATTGAATTCGGAGTTCTTAGCTGCAATGTCGCGGTTAAAGCTGCGTATAAAGTCTGAAAGGAGAAAATGTTAGATTAATGGCTTTGTGGATAGAACTGGAGTAGTGGGAAGGAAAGATGTTCTTCGTACTTATATAGCGAATAGCCTCTGGATTTGCGATGATTAGTCTCTGCACATACATTGCGTCGGTGCAGCCGAGAGGGTCTCTTATATTTTCGCAGAGAGTGTGGGCGCAAATTCTTGCGCCATGAATCTTGCAGGCGATAGGTTCGACAAGGCACATTACGTCAAAAGCTGAAAAGAAGCTCAGGATAGTGAGCAGACTTATTTATCGGAAAGTAAACCGATTCAAATCGGATGAAGTAATAAGTATAAGAAAAGCTGTCTTGGATCAAGTAGAGCGGTGCCTCGCGGCCTTTATAGTATTCTAACTCTATTACCTTAGCACTACCTCGTCTGGAAACGTGGTTAACGAAGGTGGTAATACCCTCAAGAAGATGATGGTCTTGATCATCCTGATCATTCTCCTTCATTGCTAACCGAATGCGGCATTAAACCATCCCGAGGTCATCGAAGACCCACTTGAAATGACCACCAAATGACTACCGACGGGACCCTTCAAAGAGACCATCCATCCAAAAAAGATGTATTCAAAGGACAGGAATATGTAAAACAATTACCTCCCCCCTGAGGTATCGATTGGGGCAGGGCCGGGGCATTAGCGACTTGTAATTTGCTATCTAAGCTCTTTAGAAATCTCAAGTTAAATTTTTTAATATAAGTATAAGCAAGTATATTATAACCCTTGTATTATAATAACATGGTTCCTAATTTATAATAAAAAGATTCCCTAAAATACTATTTTAATTTAAGGGAATTTATATACTAATTAATTAAGTTCTAGTTTTTAAGCCTTATAAGGCCCTATAAATTATAGGCTTATAGGGCTCTTATATCTGGTTTTAGGAACTTATTTGCTAAATTTCTAGGCTTTCTTAAGCTTATCTTTAGGCTACAAAATGTAAAAAGTTTATATTTGAAGAGCCCTTAATTAGAGCTATAGGGAAATGAAACTAGTATTAAATTATATTAAATCCTTATAAAGTTGAATTAAATTAAAGAAAAAGCCAGAGTTTTAGTGTTCCGGTCCGAGCGCCTCCACTTTGGTTGGGTCAACACCCCTATCGATACCGCGGGGGCGGCCCGGGGGTCGTTTTACTTTTTCACCAAAAACGATTTGTCATTGCGGCTGAAATTTGCGATCGCCCGGTCGCATCGTCCGTAACAACAACCACCTGCCTACCGAATGTCCTCAAGAGATGGGTCGGACTTCAAACTCGAGTGCCTACTTTGAGAAGTGGATGATCGAGTAAAGCAGGAAGGAAGACTCGACGGACGCGATATCGACAAGAAGGCTGAAGCCGAGCCTTGCACGGAGATCGAGGAAGAGAACATACGTCCTATAACACTGCGAGGAGTGCATACATGCCTGCTGTACACGTCTCGAGACCCTACTTCGTATTTGGACAGAAAACCGCCTCCGTGCGGAAGGCTCCATCACCTGTCCAAGAGCAAACATCACCCATCCTACTCCAACCCTCGGGCATTCTCCGGCACTATAGCAGTAACATTTTGACAGGATTCGTTGTTTTTTGTTCGATCAGACCTCAAGATGGATACCCCTAATGCTGGAGTATCGTCATATCCGGAGGTGTCTGGTGCATTACTGCCGGAGAATCCGCCTAGTGAGAGGATTGACTTTTCATGAGGCTCAAAACTAACCTTTGAATAGACGAAGAACCTCGAAGTCAGTCAAACATGGTACAGCATGTCAATTCCTCGGAAACTGCACAAGCTTCTCTGCCCCATCCTGAGTCAGGATCGGATTCAATCTCAGAATCCAGCACAACTTCTCTTCCCCAAGTTGACCACAGACCATCTCCAGTGATGACAACGAGAAGAGCTCATACTATCGGTCCGCCTATAGAGTCTCAATGGCTAGCAACCTCTGGTCCGCCTCACTTGCCAGAAACCGCTGGACTTGATTCGACACACACACCATCTTCAGTACTACTGGTGTCGCCCATCACTGTTGGGAGAAGCCACGAGGAAGATCAGATTACGCAGACCTTCGATGACATTATTGAGAAAGCAAGTAGATTCTGCGATCACTTGAAAAATGGAAAGCTAAGTAAGCGTTCCCGATGGAACAGCGGGGTCGTCAATATTCTGGACTTCGGCGGGTCAACCGACCGTCAACTGTACGAGTTTGTGGATGAAAAAACGGAGCCACCTGATGATGAGGCCGTTCTTAGAAGCATCCCTGAAGATGTCACACAGCGCCTGATAATAATCGAGGATCTCTATTCACGGATCATTGCCCTCCTCGTTGCTAAGTTCGGAGTCACCCCGGAGTTCTTTGAGGAACATCTGTTAAATTCTGGCTACGCCGGCGCACAATATGACGATTCCAGCTCACAGTCGTGGAGTACATCTTTCTTGAATAAATCTTACGTTTCTATGAAATGGTTCCGTCCAGCTTGGAGATTACCTGTGGCTCCATTCTCGAAGCATGACTTGGAAGATTTGTTGGACTTGGAAGTCTCCAGTCTGAATTTCCCTGGTGGGAAATCAAATGAGACGAGGACCATTCAAGCAGAAACGAACATTTTTCGCTCACAATGGGATCTTTGGACTGATTCAAAAACAACTACCCGTGCGAGGCGAATTTGCGGGTGGGAGGAACGAGCTTCTATTTGGAAGGGCAAGGCACCAAACGGCAAATGCGATCTCGGTATTCCATCCAACTTGAATGAAGCCTCCCTAAAATCACATTTACTGACCTTTCCAAGTGATTTTGTTGCTAGACCCGTTACCCACCTTGAAGAGAACATCGCATCGAACGGTGCTCGAAGCTACAACTTTATCAAGTAGCCAGGCTTCTTCGAACGAAGGGACAGGCTCTCGAGAATCTGGTAGTCACCGCTCATTTACTGACCCGGAAAGTGGACAAAGCGAATTTTCCGGTGCTTCGCAATCTCTACATTCAGCATCTCTGAGGTCAAGGAGACGCCCTGAAATGAAGCGCTGGTTCAGTCTTGTCCCTCAATGGTTACTGCAACTGGCAGTGAAGGATCAGAGAGCCAGACCCGAAGAAGTGATCATCGATCGTGAACTTCCCTCACAGCCAGTTATTGAGCAGATTGGCCCAAGAGTCCACCTTGATTTCGGCCTGGAAGAAGCGTTGCAATCGCCAATACTTCTCACAAAATTACGAAATCAACTATTCGAGACAAAATCTACCCTGAGCAACTTCAATGACTACCTTGACAATGGAGAACATGAGCACGATGCCCAATTTGGCACCTTGAGTCCTCTCTTTGGGATAGTTCGCAAAGACCTGCTTGGATTTGTGAAGCTATTGCACAACATTCTGGACAGCATAAACTCTGAGATCTTGGACGATGCGAAGATGGAAGACCGGCTCACGATATGGAGACAAATAATAACCAGGGCTGAGCTTGAGCTACCAGAAATAAGGGCCTCAATGGTGGAGTTCTTCATGTTCCTCCCACAAGCTGGAAGAATCAACCCAACTACGAAAGCGAACTCTGAAGAGACTTTTGTCGATAAAGAATTTCAAGAATGCTTGACAGAGATTGACCGGACTCTGGAAAGGCTTCAGACCGTATCCAGGTCCCTGACTTCCAACATGGCCCTGCTCGACAGCCGAAGATCAATAGCTGAGGCTCAGAATGTCACACGACTGACCGAGCTAGCCTTCTTGTTCATCCCTCTGACGTTTGCGGCTACTCTGCTTGGGATGCAAATCGATCAATTCGAGAACCGGGTGCCTTTATCCACATTCATCCTTCTGGGTGTATTATTCACTGGACTCTCTTACGGTGTCAGGTTGACAATCAGAAGCTTCTGGTTTCGGATGATCGTGGAGAGGTCGAAAGAGAGCATCAAAATCTATGCGGATCGCCAGCAACAGCCGGTTCAGAGAGGCTACGTCCCTACCTCTATGTTCTTGCGATGGTTGCTGCAGTCATCTTGGATGTGGGCCAAGTCCGCCGTCGCTGGCTTTGGGATTTCCGTTTGGGCAGTGATAAGGTTGCTATGGAGGCTGTTGATGATATCTACCATCAGACCATTCACGACGATTGGTCTCACGTGTGTATTGCCGTTGACAATTCTTTGGACCCGAGACTTGGACTACGAGATCCAGGTGTTCTTTACAATTGCACTTTTTCTCTCGGTTTCAATGGTGGTCTTCATCATATTCTGGTGGTATGCCGGCCCCAAAGAGCAAGAGACATTTCCCAGACTGTTCAAAAAAGAGTTTGACAGGTTTGTAAAAGGAAATTCAACGATGTTCCCATTGATTATTTGGGTAGGAAGTGCTTGTATCTTCCTAGCGCTGATTATCATCCTCTGGAGAGGGCCAACTTCATCCGGTATCAAGGCCTTTTTCACTATTGCTTTAGTTTTAAGCATTGTTCTAGGTCTCATTTGTTTCGCCATTTATAAACTAGTAGGGAATGTTATAAGTTATGCTCAAAGCGGTGGCGGGGGGGGATCTGAGAGTGAAGATTCCTCTTGATTCTTTTCCAGCCAGCCGAGCGCAGCTTGGGTATCTTGATTCGGTTCATCTAGTCTAATCAGATCACAACAGCAAATTTTATTAGCTATTTCAGTCTCGTACCAAACATCCTGGTAGTGCAAAACGGTCATAGCTCTTCCGTACATGCCTGAGAGGTCCTCGTATTTCTTTCGCCAGGACTCTCTTGTCTTATTCTTGCAATGGTTCGCTCTCGGGGTGATTTGGTGTCCTCGTCTTAAACATACCCGACAGCACCTCGATCGACCGAATCATAATCCACACGCCAACTGCAACAACTATATAAGCGCATGCTCCTACCCATCCAAGTATCATCGCAGCGGTCCCCACTTTTGCTTTCGCAGTTCCATACGACAACGCCTCTACCATTGTTGACCCAGTAGCGCTTGCGACGTGTTGAACGAAGATGGAGATAACGGAGAACAACGAGGCAGCTAGCACAATTGCAAGCACTAGGTAACTGATTGGGCGAGATGGAAACGGCTTGACCTCCTTCTCATCGCTAGCCACGTCCTCTTCCTCATGCCAGCCGGGGAAGGTGGCCAGAAGAAGAGTCGCCACGAAAGCGAAGGGGATAGCAGTTAATCTGAGATGGTCGACTTGAGTCTTAATACCTGTGCATGTGGAAGTAAGATGGGGAGGGTATAGACTTACAGTAGTCCAGGAAATAGCACCGCATCTTTGAACCGCCCCCCAATCCAGATCAGATTTAACGGGTCGTGTTCGCCACTTGCTGGGCCACCATATAATTTTATCAAGTTCGAGAGCGTGAGTGCGTCATGCGCACATAACCACTGGGAGGTCACTTGCGAGATGCAGATTCCAAGGTAGCTCACTCGGACTTCCAACTGGCTGTGAGTCGACGCGATTGTGGAGAAGGTGGTGCTGATGTTCGGATTCAGTTGAATATTGGATGGTGGAGGCTTAGTAGCTGAGGGGAGGTAGGAAAGTGAGAGTATATAGATGTTGGGAAGGTTGTTGGATGTTGTGCATCCGGCTGTGTTGATTGCTAATACTGCAAGTAAGTGCTGTTCACAACACCAAAATCGCCCAGGTAGAGGGCGCATTACATTGTAGTGCAATTCCAACTGTCAAACAAATCATGAGGACATGGTGGTAGCCAAGGAAAGGCACAAATTCTGTGTAGGTTAGTGATTGGCAGAGAAGCATTGGACAAGGCTGCATTCACGTACTCATCCAAGTTGGGGCAGGATCGTTATCCATGATTCCAAAGGACGATCAGACGATAGTGGGGACAGTAGTGAAATGGTCGTCAGGGGTTTCAGATAGTTGAGATGAGCGAGGCTTGGGCTACCAGGTGTCGCACTTCGTGGATAACGGTTTGCAGGGACTTGGACCCAGTATATAATCTACAGCTGTGCTGCGTATTATGTATCACAGAGCTCCAATCGCGAAAGAAGATAACGTGAAGTTGATGTGGCTTGGTGCATTGCATATGCCACGTGGAATCGAGACTTGCTTTTGACTTCCATTTCCCCTTTATGAGGAGAGCCTATTGGCCGTTAACCCGGGAAAAACTAAAACGACGCCCCCCTTCTGGTCACGTAGCGAGGGTCATGTGACCTCCAAACGTTGTGAGGTGAAATTCGCTTGAGCCTCAGGCACACATTTCGCTTAATTATGGCGCTAAGGAGTATTTAGCCTTGCTCCCAAGCTTCTACGAGCTTCACGCTTCTCTTCTAGAAAGAATCAGAGTTCTAGAAATCTCTCCCGTATTTCGTAACGTGTGTTTTAATCTGGTACTTGGTTCACTTCTGCCTATTTCTTCTGAGGATCTTCAACGTCCACAGTTCGCATATATATTACCCCGCTCTCCTCTGTTCTTAGAAATCAACTAACCTTCACTCTTTAATTGCTCGTCTCACCTGTACATCTGCAATCCCACGCTGTGGAAACCCATTCTTCTCTATGTTACTCCTTGTTTAATATCCCCTTTATAGTAGCTATTTCATTAACTAAGGTAGTTCCTAAATATATTAAGGCTATAAATTCTATTAATTTCTTACAAAGTAAATTAAACTTAAAGAGAAGGTAAGGTTTTTAGTATTCCCACCCAAGCACCTCTACTTTGGGTTAGTAGGTTAGTCTGGTCCCCAATCGACACCTTTGGTTGGGGGTTATTACTTTTTTCCCTCAGAAAGTGGGGTCCTGGCCGCACCTTGTATCCGGTCACGTGCCAATTCAGTCACGATTGTCAGAAATCCAATAGCAAACCTTTTCACTAGTGAGGCGTCCAGTCAGCGTACAAGCTGGGCGATATGCTAGGTTCTGAGCAGCTGAAATCCATGGCACCAGCGTTGCGGGCAGTCGATCGTATTTCGATCCTTCTGTGGGTTATTTTCATGTCACGTATAAAGCTTCGAACAGCTTTAATTCGAGAACCCAGCTTCTTTTACCCTCTCAAATCACACGCGACCTCTGAAAACATCACATGAAACTTTGTAGTTAATGATATTATTGTCTATGGCTTCTCCCACGCGTTTCGAGGTGTTACTGACCGCTATCCTACGCCTGTGCTGGGCACATAGCCTTGTGTCATACTCTAGTGCCCAGATTATTCTTCCGAGACAAATAACAATTAGCGATGGACCTTCCATAGCGACTCTCCTTTGCAATCCAGCGCATTCTTATCCAGAATGCCAGAGTTGTGTAGGCGGTACAGCGTGGGGGACCACGTCTGGTTGCGGAGTATCAGCAGCGGCTTCAAGTACCACTCCAAGCACAACAACCTCTACTCCAGTGACAATCTCTACTCCAGTGACAACCTCTATTCCAGTGACAACTTCTACTCCAGTGGCTACTCCTGCTCCACCAACCCCTACCACTCCCAGCGACCCATCAAGCACAAGCTCAGGCTCAAGCTCAAGCACACCTAACCAAGTTGTCGTCACAACCACTCAGCTCAAAATATCTAGTTTCACAAGCATGATTGTACCTTTAGTGTCACCGCTGAGTACCACTACAAAGGCAACTGGATCAGAGAGTATCTCAACCCCGTCCTCAACACACATTACCTCCCCCAAAACACCATTCACCGGTCAAGCGCTGCTCGTGGGAACATGCACGATTCCAATATACACAGCGCTTGTATTGAGCGGAGGTGCAATTCTAGAAGCGCCCATTATCGGTTGCGCCGATAATCGACCAGACTGTTGCCCGTCTCTGAGCACATCTTCGAACGTTATTTCAACAATACCGCCTACAACTTCCACAAGTACAGTCATTGTACCAGTCTATGAAGGGACCGTTGTGGTCGCGGCGCTTTCGGCCGACCCGATCACGGCCTGTCCTTCTGATTACAATGATTTGGGCTCTGTGTGCTGTCCTGTGTATGTCACGATCTGGGTATATTGTCACATCTGCATCCGTAGACTGACATAATACAGCGGCTTTACCCTCTACTCCCAAGCCAAAATTGGCCAAACCCCTTGCTACACTGTTCTCCCCACCGAGCTCAACACCAACGCCGCCAGTGCCGCAATCGCCTCTATCTCCGCACAAATCGCCGCAACGGCCTCCCCGGGCTCCACACCTACGGTTTCCGTTCTGGTAATTACTGATCAGGTCTTCGCTCTTTCCCTCCCTCACACACCGCACAAATCCATTCTTAGCACACAGATCGGCGCCGGCGTTGGTTCTGGAGCGGGTGGATTGCTACTTCTGCTATTGTTGGTCTGGGTCTACTCCCTGCGGAAGAAACTTAGAAGAGAAAGGGAGCCGAAAGGATTGAGCGCGGCTATTTCAAGTTCAGCAGCGACTAGAACTAGTGGACCGACACCGATCGCGAGCGAGAATTTAAACTCGGGAGGGATGAGCCAGCAGCCGAGTTTACCCTCTACAGGACCTACGCCACCAGCCGGTCCAAGTCCGCCTGAGCTGCCGAACAGGAACTACTCACCTTGGGCACCGTATGTGCCATCCGGGGTCCAACAGCCATATCAACAGACCTATCAACAGTCGCAGCCTGGCCAGCCATGGCAGCAAACACTAGGCCCTGCTCTACGCCTGGTACAAGAGCAAACCGGCCCACCGCACACGGCAGCGATGCCCGAGGCTTATGACGAGGGTTTTCTCAACGGCTATCGTGTGATGCCCGTTGTGCAGACTAACGTCTACGAGGCGAATACGAACTTGCCACGACCAGGAATCTCACGCATGCCAGATGGGACGGTATATACAGACCCGGTAGAGATAGGACAGAGTAACACGCCACGGGTTATTTAGAGTCTTTATAGTAGAAATATTACTATAAGCATTTAAAACTTTAATAATAAAAGTATTAGTTATTATAGTTACTACTTTACTCTACTTTTGGTTTTATATACTAAATATTACTTTTTATAATATCTTTATTAATTTATTTCCGTTTCTTAAATACTTAAACAATAAAATATTATTATAATTATTACGGCTAGCTTATTATTAGCTTATAATTAAACTAGTAATAGCTAGACTATAATTAGCTAAACGTATAAGTCACAGTTTATACCTATCTTAATCGACCTCAAGCGAAGTGCCGCAGAAAGTTGAGGTTTTGACCTCGATCTTCTGAGGATGCTCGCCTCAAAAAATATAGTATAATTTGTGGCTAATTATACGAATTACTATATATTGAATAAGCTTCATAGCTTAAGCTTGGGCGGCTCTCGTACGTCATTCCATTTTCGTGCTTTCTGTTCTGTTAGGAAATGGCCAATGGAAAGTTGCGCGTCTAAGTCTGTTACTGTTTTGTATCGAGCTTCGTTGATTTCGGCAATACTCCGCCACGCCGAGAAAGCTCCCGGAACTTTTTGTCACCGCAGAGATGGGCAACTGCAGAACTTGTGGTGAAGATATAGATGATGCCGCGGGAGCTTTGGGTCGGTCTACGCTGTTTGCAGCAGTCGCCTCCTCGGTGCCATTTGATGCTGTGTTGGCAATTGATCCTTTGCCACTATCTGGGGGAGTCGGGCCGTTTGGCATTTTGGGCCCGGTGTTTTGTGGCTCATTTGCCGTGAGCTGAACGTCGAAATGATCCCGAACGGGGGTGCCTTGATTCGGATATGTCCATGTAAATGCCCTGCTTCGACCAAAAATGACTCCTCCTCGTCCCTCTGCGAACGGCTCTGGACGCCTGATGCGAGTGGAAAATGGCGGTAAAAGTACCTGGACCCGGTCACAAGTAGAAGCTCCAGGGACACAGCAACATTCCTCGAAAAGAAGGTGGGGTTTGTGCCAGTGAATCCCATTTGCAAGCCTGAAAGGCTCGGCCTGACTGTTCCCGTGTCTTCTGCAAATCTCATCCACGGTCGATACGCAGGTTGCAAGGTAATCTTTGCCTTTGGGAACTTGCTTCCAACCCTCGCACAGTGTAATTCCATCTTCCGAGGGTTGTATCAGTGATCCAAATCCTCGCCCGAGCAGATTAATGGTGTGAATCTCTCTTGTGAAGTCAACCCAGCTTCTACCAGACGCTGTCAAAATTTCGAATCGAGGTTTCAAAGAACTTTCACCACTGGCGATTTCGAGAAAATCCCAGCCTTCAAGTTTTTCTCGGTCGATCCGTCGGAAATCTTTGCCGTCGGATTCCATGAGCAGCTTTTGATAGTCGTGCAGCTTCTCAAATAGAGACAAATTTCGCTGCACCAACTCGTGAAAGAGAAGCTTTTTGACAGTTTTCTTGATCTCTTTACTTGTGCTTCCGTCCTCCTTTGTGGTTTCTTCGATGACAATCTCAGGGGGATCGAAACTAATTTCAAGCAGCATGTTGGACTCGTCCAGCAAAGCGTCCACGGCGGCATCTGCCCCACTTCCGCTATGAGCGTGATGAAAATCTTCCAAATTTAAAGCCGGACTTCCGCTATGGGGGCTGCTGTCATGTGTGAGCTGCGTGCGCGAAATGTGAAGCACTGTGCTTGCTCCGTCGAGAAGCCAACCACGACGGCCGCCGACGTCGAATATATTTACATATATGCTCTGACGTGCGTATTTGACTGCTTCACGGTATGAACGTTTTACTAGGTGTAAAATCCGGTGGTTTCTCATGCCTGATCCAATTGTGGCACCTACTGTGACAAATTTTCCCGCATTCAGTGTCATCTTTTCTAAAGCACAACCGGCAGAACAGTAATTTGATCTACTCCAGCATATCTCGTTGTAATTGACTTCCGGAGCGCCTATATCACCAACATGTTATTAAAATTCACCTTGGATGCCTTTTTTGTGACAACCTTCGGCTCGGACTTACCTGCAAACCTATTGACTGAGGTGGCCCAGCCAACAAAATTTCTGGTCGTAGTCCAAGGAAAAGGGCTGAACGTAGAGCTATCATGGTAATCTTGGCAGTAATGCTGCGAATTCAAGTAGGATATTCGATCCCCATCCTGGTTGCACAAGAAGTGCCAGACCACTGCATTATCTGACACTTCCGTCGCAACAAACATAGTCGAGAAGCCTTTTAGCACGGGCATATCGTTGAATTCGGTCAGGTAATATGCGTCGCCCAAACTTGCCATCAGGTCCATAGAAATCTCCAATCCTCGTTCATTGTGTATTCGAGCTGGGATAGGATAGCCCTGTACAATAACTGGGTTTTCGAACAACAAGTGCCAGCAGGACCCGCTTGTGTCTGGCCCTGGATCATTGTCCCCGAGCACCCCAAGATGAGAGCTAACCTCATAATAAACAGTCCGTTCTTGGGACTCTGACTGTTCTGTGGTGGGTGTCTGCAATACTGTAATTTGTGCTGTCGAGTAAGCCATTTTGTCGCTGCTTGGTGACCACTTCAGTGCAGCACAGAGCCAGGCAAGCTGCTCGCCGATTTCAACTAGGGAGGGTTGCATGCCTGTCGCCGTGATGAACAGGTGTGTCTCGCTTACAACGCATTCAAATTGGCTGTCATCGGTAAGCCTGCCTGAGCCAAGTCAGCTTTTTGATGCTCTTACAGTAACAGGCAAGCCTCTCACATTTATAAGGGCCGGCTGAATCGTTGGCTAGGGATTTCCCCAAAGCTCTGAGTATTTCAATACCACTGTCAGGCCATATTTGTTGCATGTACAGTGCACAAGGAACTGCCTGTGCATTGACAGCGCATCCAGTAAGTACTAAGACATCCCCGATATCTCGGCATGGATCATCTTGGTAGTAGTGGTCGAGGAAAGCACGTAACCTCAATGCTACATGAAATACTGCACCATAAATTGGAGCTGGATTCTTATGCCCTTTTGGCGTAATGTGGTCGAGGCTTGCACAAATCTTGTTGTTGATGTCCAAAATGACAGTGCCGTTTCGCATGGTTAGTTTCGCAGCTGCACGTATCTTTTTCAACAGCCATTGGTACTCTCTGCTTTCTCTTAACAACTCGCAATGTTTCGAGAATTTTTCAAGGTGGTCGCTCTCGGGCCCAAAAGAGTCTTCTTTATCTTCCTGGATGATTTCGTCGCTGGGAGGGTCCAAGTCAGTTGCCGGTATCGTCTTCCAGAAATTTACCTTTTCCTCAACGGAAATTAGGTCAGAAGATCCAAAGGGTACCACTTTGTCGTGAGCATGTGCTTGGTCCTCTGTCTCATTCGATTCTATCGCCGTTCGAAATGAAGCAGAGATATAACTAACGCAGAGGAGTTAGTACATCAGCCAAATTCCTATAAATTAGACGTGTAGATTCATTTGAACCTTTTCGGTGGTGCACCTACTTTCGATTTTGGCGGACGAACGAGACTGCTTGGGCGTGCTCCTTTTCAACCGCAGTGTGGGTGACCCTGGCTGCAAAATCTCTTAATAGGGCAGGAAGGGCCTTGGAAATAATAGACACAGCATCGGGGTATTGCATCAAAGGACCAACATCACGATACAACCCGCTAGTGAAATTAGAAATCACGGCCTCCTTTTCGTCATAGGGCAGATAAAGTTGCTCGCCATCTGTTATAACTGTTCTCCCATCATCCTCATTAGTGTGCTCATTTTTATTTTGAACATTGACAGTTGAGGCATATCCAGAGTCCGTTGGGGGCGCAGTACTATCCGGAGGTTCGTCAATTGGCACATGGAAGCTATGCTGCACATTGGCCACTAATCGAGCAGGCTGATTGAGGTCGAATTGCTGTACCATATTGTTCGGACCAAGAGTAAAGAGAGTTGCAAGGGGCCCATATACTGTCAGGCCCTCAACTCCACTCGAGGTTTGAATATCTTCCCTGATCACTTTTTTCGTTCTTATATCCCATGAAATAATCTTGCTGTATAGGAAATTGTTTGTAAGCCTTGTTTACAGGGATGGGATGTTTGAAAAAGACGTACCCCTCCGAATACTCAATAATACGCCCATTTTTGGACCATCCCATCCACTTCCGACCTGACAGACGTTTTTCTAACCTGTCTAGAATCCTAATAACTCTTGCACCCTTTTGGTTCATGCCAGGATGTTTCTCAATAGACCAAAGTCTGAGATCTCCATCATCTAGCTGGGTGGCCAACATTTCTGAATTTTGGTGTATTGAGGATGCATGCCAGGCTAGTGTAACAACAGGTGATGGATATATTGAAGTTGTTAGATTGTGAAGAATCGTGAATCTTGGCTGCAAAGTAGCAATAAGAAGCGAACCATTCGAGTAACTATGACCTTAGGGATCAGCGAAAATTCCTTTAAGCCAAGATTACAAGGTTACCCAATCGCGTATGTGGTACAATTTTGAGCAGGTGCTATTGCCGTGATTGGTACCTCATCTATGGTCTTTGTTGAAATGCTGAGCGATTCCGAAAGTTCAAAGAGGGTTATAGTGCCTTGATCACTTCCTATAGGCTATCAGTACATTTACGTACGAGCACTTAATAAAATCTCAAATCGTACCAAGAGCAATAACTCCGTTGCGCATCCATGCTACTGCAGTTAAGGCTTCATACGATTCAAGTCTTCCAATCTCATCCCCAGTAAGACAATCCCACGCAATTGCTACCTGTTCCTCACTACAGCTGACTACTAAACGACCTCCTTCCTCACTCGCGGTGTGTGCAGCTAAGAGGGTGACATTTTCTGTATGTCGTGAAAAGCGCCTTTCGATTATGAGCGTATCGTAAGGTGCACATATTACCGAATTCCCATGAGCGTATAGCAGCATCGATGCTGTGGCCGCACATGGTACGAAATCGTGATAGCCTCGTGCTTGAAGTTCCGTAAAAACAGGTGCAGTTCCCTCCGGGAGGCTTGAGACCGGAGAGGTAGGTGGCTGCGAGGACATGGCGATAATATTGGCCGCGTTATCCACTGTGATACTGCAGGCAGCATTCGCTGGAAGATTGTTTGAAGCTCAAAGACACGTTTGTGCGAAAAAATCAGGATTTAGAGACGGTGAAGCGGCTGCAGTGCGGCTGTGCCCAAAGTGGGATGCGGCCCTGGATCTGGGAAAATGTAAAACGACCCCCGACCCCGGGTGTCAATTGGGGGCCGGACTAACCTACCCGTCGGCAATTCCTCGCTTTGCTGGGGCCGACTTGCACTAGCAAGTCGGACCAGCAACTCCGATATTTGCGATAAAATATTAATTATTAAATTAACCACATAAAATACCGAAATAACAAAATTAGATTATTATAGCCCTCAATCAAGTCTATAATTGCCTAATAAAACTTTTTGCGATATAAGAAGGTTTTGGTATAAATTATTAATAATTCACTTCAAAATCATAATATTATTTATATTTCTCATAGAAATCAGTTTATAGCATACTAACTAATTGCTATATTTATTAATATTAAATCATATATTACTATTAAAATTAGAAGTCTATATATCTTCTTGCATTATCTGAATATTAATAGCTTTAATCTTATACTTCTTGCCCTATAGCTTTTTTCCTTATATTAAAGCTTCTTATTTTCTAGTTTCCTTAGCCTTCTTCTCTATTCTCTTCTTCTTATCTCTTTTTGCCTTCTCCTTAGCCGTCTATTTCTTCTTTTTTTAATTTAATTATCTTTTGCCTTTTAAGTCTTTTTTAATTACTATTTTATATTAGTTTTTAGCTAGCTCTAGCTCTTTTCTTATTCTAGTAAATTCATCTTTTTCTTCCTTATTATTTCTAGCTTTAATATTATATAAACCTTTTATAAAGAAAATAATACGGCTTTTATAAATAGATTAAATATATTATTTATAATTTTCTTTATTTATAAAAAGAGAATTACTAGCCTAAAGATCTCGATTATTCTTATTTTATAATTATTATTTAGTAATAGCTTTTAAATTAGCCTTAATTTGGGCCCCTTTTTTAAATTTCTTATTTAAAAGCTTTCAAAAGAGGAATAATATAATATTTTTATATTTTTCGAGAAAATTTATATATATAAAAATTTCTTTTACTTTATAAAAAGTTTATATAAAAGCGGTTTTAGTATATTATTATAAATTAAAACCTTTAATTCCAGAATTCTCTTTATTATAATTAGTAATATTAGTTTTAGAAAAGAATTAAATAAAGTTATTAATATTATTAATACTTTACTTTTAAGCTTAATTAAATAAAAAAGCTTTATTTTATTATTATTTAAAAGAATATTAAAATAAAAAGGCTTAAAATCAGGAAAAGTATTAGGCTATTTCTTTTATATTAAATATTTAGAAGATTTTATTCTAGTTTAGGGCTTATTTAATATAGATATATAAATAGCTTTATTAAAATAGTTTTTATTAAAGATATAAACTTGTTCTTTAATTTCTTAATTACCTAGTTTCTTTTTATATAAAGCTTTATAGCCCTAAGAACTAGCTTAAAATTAAAAGAATAAATATTTCCTTTAATAAAAGTTATTATATGAATTTAAATTAATATTTAAAGAAATATAGTTTTTATAAAGTTATTTTTCCTTATATAAATTCTATTTTTAATAAAGTATTTATATTAGTATTTTGTTTATAAAAAATAGCTTATATTTAGTAATTAATAAAAATATATAAAATATACTAATAAATAAAAGAATATTATATCTAATTACTTATAAATAAATTTAAATTTATAAGTAATATAACTATTATAGCTATTAAAAATAAAAAGATAATATTTGCTTTTTTATATATTTTTAATTTAATAATAAAAGTATTATAGCTAGCTAATAGCTAGCTTATTATTTATATAGTTTATTTTGTTTTAGGTAATTTTTATATTATTAAAAAAGTTATTATTAATTTTTTTTTTAAATATTTTATAAAATATAATAATAAAGCCTTTAATTATAAAACCTTTAGCTAAAATATATTTTATTATTATAATTAATTCTCGTTTAACTAAATCCTTAATATGAATCTAGAATTATTAATTAATAAATACGAAATATAAAATACTAAATATAATTATTAAGTATTTATTTCTAAAATATTCTTATATATAATTATTATTAAACTAGTAATATATCTAATATAAAAACCAATTTTTATTAATATTATATATATTAAATATTTATATTTTATATTTATTTAAAATAGCCTAGAACTATATAAATATTTTTAAAACTAGTTCTAGAATAAATATCTTTTTCTATTAATAATCTATAGGCTTTATATATATAATATAATATTTTTTAAACTTCTTTTATTTTTTTATATAATAAAAAGCCTAATTATTTCTAAAGTAATTATTATTTCTATTAATTAAACCTATAGCTTCTAGAATTTATATAATAGCTCGAGTAATTATATTATATTAAAATAAGAAATTCTTTTTAATAATTCTTTTTATATATTATATTTTTTATTTTTCGAAAAAGGCTTTATTTCTTATTTTCTTTTATATAAAGTTATATAAGAAATATTAAATATATCTATTATAATTTATAAGCTAGTAATTTCGGGTTTAAATAAATTATAATATATTTTTAAGGCCTTCTATATTTGAATCTCTTTTTTTAAATATAGCTTTATTTTATACTTTAGTATTTTTCGAAGCCTTTTAATAAGCTTTTTAATTTATTTTCTTAATATTTAATATATGGCTTTTAATATAATAATTAATTTAATAATTAATATAATTAATATTTTATAATTCTTGGTATTTTTTAGCTTTAGTATTAAGTAAATTCTTTTTAAAAAGAATTCTAAAAATCCCATTTTAATTTATAATATAATATTATATAATTATAGAATCTAATATAGCCCATAATTATATAAGAAAATTATCTTTATTAAATATATAATTATTTCTTAATCTAATATATAAACTGAAAAATAAATATTAAAATTATTAAAATATTAGAATTAATAATATTATTAAATTAGTAAACTAGTCTAAATTAAATAAAGAAATACTTATAAATAAAGCTTTATTAATTACTTGAGAAATAATATTACTAGCTATTTATAAGTGAAAATATTAATTAATATTATAGTAATTATTATATTTATAAGAAATTATATATATTAAAAAATAAGAAATCTAGTCTATTTTATTTTCTTTTAGTTTCTAGTTACTTTTAATAATATATTATTATAAATTTTAAAAGCTATTTAAAAAGCAAAGCAAATTTTATATAAGAATTAATACTAAAATTAAGCTTTTAATAGCTAATTACTTTTAAATAAATAAATAAATAGAGATTATTAATTAATACTTTAATTAAAAATTATATTTATATATTATTTATTACTAAAATAATTAAAATAAATAAATAGCTATAATTAATTATTAATAAGCCTTTTTTAATATAAAACTATTAGCTAATTCTTATTTATAACTAAAAAAAGCTATAAATCTTATATTTCTTTTAACTAAAACTTTTTATTAAAGCTAGTTTATCTAAAAAGAAATCAAATAGAAATAAAGCTAAAATATTAATAAATTAATTATATATATTATAATAATTTGCTTAAGATTATATAAAATAAATATAAGAATAATATATAATATAAGTTAATAAATACTACTATTTAATTAATTTTGAAATCGGAAATAAAAAATATAAATTATTATAAAATACTAGAAATCTAATTATTTAAGCCAAAAGCTAAAGAATTAAATAAATAATTTATTTGAGATTTTAGAAAAATACAGCTATTTATTTCTTTTAAAGCTATTAGAAATTATAAAGATATATTTAATTTTTTATATAAAGAAGTTATTAAAGAATTCTTAGAATTCTTATTAAATTAAATAAATTCGAAACTGCCTTTATTAATATTAGAAAATAGTAAATAAAAATATAGTATTAAATAAATTATTATAATTAACCTAATAAGAAATAGGCTAAAATATAGAATCTAGTAAATTAGTTAAAATAAGAATTTAATATAATATTTAGATTTAATATTAAATAATAGCTTTCTGGTTTTATAATACTTTTATAATAATAATATTAATATATTAGAACTTTTATAAAATCTGTAATATTAGCTAAATTATATAAAAAATAATACTTATTTGAAATTATATAGAAATAATAATAAATTCTTTTAAATTATATATTAAAAATATTTGTTTTTTATATATAAAATACTAGTTTATTTAAGAATTAAAAATGAAAATAGTATAAAATTAAATAAATTAATAGCTTTTATAAAACTCGGAAATAAGCTTATTTTAAAAAAGAAAATAATATTATAATTTAGCTTTTTGTTTTATTAATTAATATAATTAATTAATAATTACTTATATTTTATTACTTTCTAAATATATATAATATAATTACTTTATTAAAGAAATATACTTGAAATATATTAGAAATATTTAGAAAGCTAAGTCTCTTATAAACTAGTATATTATAAAATATATATATTTCTTTATAGCTTTTTATATTCTAGTTTTCTCTTTCTTAACTTTAAATTATTTTTATAAGAAATTTTTTATTTTGCTTTTTAAGCCCTAAATATTATATTTATAATAATTTACTTCTTTTTTATTATTAGATTCTTAAATAATTACCGAGTATTATATTTCTTATTTAGGTTACTATATAGCTTCTTTAAATAAATATATAGTTCTTTAATAATCTTATATATATATTAATTATTCTAGTTTAAATAAAAGAAAATTAATATAAAAATATAATTACTTATATAATCAGAAATATAAATAATTTTAAGGTTCTTTATTTAGTAAATATTAAAGTTATTATAAAGTTTGTTTTTAATTTAAATTAACTAATTATTAGAAGTAATATTATTTTTTAATTATATTTTTAAAAATAAAAGAATTAGAAAGTTTAATTAAGTATTTATTTTCTAAAGTAAGGAAATTAGTTATTTTTATAGGTTATATAATAAGCTTTTTAATAATAACTTTTTTTTTATAAGGCTTATTTGATTTCTTTAGCTAATTATAATAATTCTTACTATAAGTAAAAATATTACAAGTTTTTAAAATTAGCTTAATAATTTCTTTATATAAAGCTTCTAAATTTCAAAGTAATTTTTAGAACTTTGCTTTTAATAAGGCAAATTTCTTTTCTTTTTTAGCTTTTTAAAAGAAAGTATTTCTTTTATTATAAGTATTAATAAAATACTTAGATTTCTTTTAGAAACCTTAATAAAAGGCATTAGTTTACTTTCTAGTAATATACTAGTAATATCTTATATTATAGATTCTTTTAATTTATCTAACTATTTTAAAACTTGCTTTTTTATAAATCTTTATTTAATAATAAAATTACTAGCTTATTTGCTTGCCTAGCCAGTTTAGGGCTTTTTTATCTAATTATTCTAGGGTTTTCTTTTATTCTAATATTAGTTAATTAATATAAGAATAGCTATAATATATTATATTTATATTTATTAAAAACTAATTAAGTAAATATTATTTAAATTCTTTATAAAATTAATAAATAAATAAGCTTTAAATTATATTATAAGTATAAGATCTAGGGCCTAAAAGGCATAATTAAATTATTTCTATTTTAATAATTTAAAGCTAAAGAAAAGAAGAAAATCTCGAAAGAGCTTTAAATCTAAATAATTGCAAGTTATATATGGGCCCACGTAATTGCTAAGCGAAATCGCGACACGTGACCTTGACTTTGCTTCCCGACTTTAACTTTATATATCTAGCTAGTTTTAGTCTAATTTCTATTTCTATTATATATTATAATAATTATAATATTTATTATTTAATTATTATTAATTATATCTTAATTTATTATTATTATATAATAATTACTTATAATTACTTATATTATTTATAAATATATATTTTACTTTATTTAAATTTTACTTATATTACTTATAAATATTTATAAATAATTCTTTAATATATTAATAAAGTATTAATTAAAGTTATAAATACTTAAAAAGCCTTATATTCTTTTATTTATTATTAAAGCTTTTTAGTTCTTAATAATAATTATCTTTTTTAGATTTATTTTAATTCCTTTAAAAAAAAAGAATAATAAGGCTACTTTATATTATATATTCTAATATAAAATATTAATTAAGGGCATATTACCCTAATAATAAAAGAATATAATTAGGTGCTAATTAATAAAGCACTATTAACTTCTGCTATAAGTGCTTTAATTCGAGATTATTTATATGTCTTATAAATTGTACTCTATTTCTCAGCCCTATTTATATATCTTCTCTTTCTCAACTCACTTAGCAAGAAACCAAATCCAAAACTAGTAGAGACAAGCAAGTACGTTTGGGGTGGGAATGAAGGCAGAACGGTAACGATTGAAAAGGACCACTATTAATATGCTTAGCTTAGCCCAAGAGGTGGAAAGGGGAAAGTGGAAGTGGAGTGGTTTTGCCTGGTAGAGGTGACTTGTATAAAAGTCTCTGCAAGGACATTGCAAGTGCATAAGCAAACGGTCATTGAGGGCATCAATCGCCATATTGGTTGGCAAGGTAAGTTATTTCTATTTATCATCCAACGCAGTCATGGGTATCGAGATACACTGGTGCTGATTCATGGAAGGGGAGTTAGGAAGGAAGGTTAGGTGGTGTGGTGTAGAAACACCATATGGAAGGGGGTGAGGAATGCCATGACAGTGAGAAGAAGGTAGACAACAACACCGTTCAGAGCTAGCTCTAGACTCACCGGCGTTGTGTTTTCCTTGCCTAAGAAGCTCACAGTGGTAGAGGCGGAGGTGGATCGCCGTGGTCTTTCCATTTCGATCGAGGCCTGAGCACATACTCGAGCCAACGATGGGCCCACCAACGAAAGATACTTCCGGATCCACGGATAGTGATGAGTCCAGATCGATGCATGCTCGCCTTTTATTCCTCGCCCCACCTCGAAAATCTCCGGCATTAGGATTGAGGAAGAAATCATATCACACTGAGCAGCAGTGGGAGGTGAAGACAAGAGAGTGGTGAATGGCTAAAGAAAAAGATTATACTGCTTCTGCATAGCTTAACGGAACTTTGTTGTGCGTTGGGTTTAAATGGAGGAGACGCGGGGTATATAAAACCTTCACTAGAAAATTCGGGCTTTGTTAAAGACTAGGGATTGAGTAAAGCGGTTTGTAAGAGGAGCAAGTTGAGAATTGGTTTACTAGCATGTTTGAGGGGAGGAAGGGTTAGGCTCCGAGGCACACTTATACCGATAAGGATATACAGATAATGCGCTGCGGGACTGCTCAGTAGGAGGGAGGTAAGAATAAAGATAGAAGAAATGACAGGAGAACAGCACTTGAAAACAACATCCCTAGCTAAGACTTCTAATGCTGCAGCTAAGCTCTGCAAATAAAACACACGGCTTTGAGAAACAGAGAGGAAGTTATTGCTTCAAGATATAGCAGCCGTGCCTATTAAGAGAAGCTGAAAAGCGCCCCCATGAAAACGTCCATTAGGTGCAGTTCCAGCAGGGTTGGAAAGCTATAGAGCTTTGAGAGCGAAGATTCTCTCTTTATATATACCTTGTCCTCCCTACTCATCGGACAAGGAGTCGACTCGCTCGAAGCTAAAAGTGAGAGCAAACGAACAGCGAATAGAGGGACTGCTACAATTATACTATGCACAGCTTAACCGAGGAGGCATTATACAATACAGGGGTATATGACCCCCTCTCACGTTGCCCACCTTAAGAAATCATGAATCTGCACGTACGAGTTAGGAACGAAATCAAATATAACTAATTGCTCTCTGTGTTCCTCTCCTTTTGAGTCAGAGAAACATGGGTTCGAAGCACTTCTGTTAGTTTGAATAGGAATATTATATATAATAACTAACATATCCTACTAAATTGAATACTGTCCTCCTTAATGGCGACCCCCAAGTCTCCGAGTTATCAATAGTCGACTGAAGTTATAGCCATTATTAATTGTGAGACGACGGGTGGTAATAAATATATAGCGAAAATGCAGTCTGAGCTCAGCTGAGCGTAATAATAGATAAAAAGAACAATAGCAATGCGAGATACTTGACAAGAAGGAAAGCAATACGTAGGTATACTAAAAGCGCAAGTGAAGTCCACTCAATCTCAATGCTGTCGACTCTGCTTCGACATAGTGAGTGAGTAAGAATATCGGCAGGAGTCCGCACTTGAAATATCGTGCTCCACTTCTACCTTTGAAAGCGTGACTCCTTGTCCAGGAGGTGTAGCGGGGGGGTAAGAAAGGCGTTGGAGAGCGATGCTGAGAGATTACCTTTATAAGAAGAATATAGAAAGAATGAAACTGGGAACTGTATAGTCTTGTTGCAGAGCTCTATGCACCTCGCTACTATAATTTATCAAAACCAGAAATAGAAAGACATGAAGCACACGAGGGAGATATAGCTGAAGCGAAGACAAGCGAGGACTGAATTATCTTCATGAAATGCGCAGAGGTATGAAAGTGCTTTGTTTGTATCTAAAGTAACTTGGAAGTGGATTGTTCTCTACATAGATATTATAGGTATAAAATCATTTCATTACCTATTTTGCAAAACACTTAAGCAAAAACCGCCGAGAAGGCAGAATATAACTTGTTGGCAAGGTTTCTCTCCTAAAGGGATGTGTATGACGAAAAGGGGGGTGTGTTCAAGGCACGCTTGTGCTAATGAATACGAAGCTGGTACATCACTGCAGGACTGCTGGACGGCATGAGCTGAGATGTAGAAAGACCGGATGAAGATGTGAGAAATGACAGTGAGAGGGTATTCGACAACAGAGCTGTACTTCAGTATGCTGACTCCGTAAGCAAGACTCATTCGGATCCAGAGGTATCTCGACATCGACAAGAACCGTTGAATTTGCGATGGGGACCATGGAGCACAGCAGGTTAAGCGGTGCCCCAGACACCGACCCACCATGGAAGTGGGTGGAGAAGCAACTGTCCACTGCAGAGCTTCTGAGGTCTCGAGGCTCTCCTCATCTACCCGAGGAAAGACGCCACGCACAGTCAGACTTGAACTGGACTTGAAGGCAAAACGAGCGGTGAATTAAAAGGACTATATGTGCCCAACCCTGCCCAAACGCCAATATGCACACCTATGTTCGACTGCCACGTATTTACAATCTCTCTCCCCCATGCTTGCCTCTCGCCGCTTTGCAACGGCTTCCAACGACATTATGCAAGCTCCTCGCATTCCTCGTCAACTTCTCGTGACCTCTTCTCCACTCATAAACTCCCCCACATGTTCACATGCTCGTAAACTCGCCTCACTTCGTCTTCCTCTCCTCCCTAACCGGCGCATAACTCCTATCATCCTCGCCTTCAACCTCCAAAACCTTCTCCTCCATCTCCTTGACTTGCCTCTCCCACTCCTTCTTTCCCATCTTACTCTCCCGACTAAACAACTCCTCATTCGGCTTCCTATAACTTCCTCCAAGTCGATCCCACAGAGTCGTGTATTGCCCATAATTATAATTAAAATACAAATGATGCATCGTGTGGCACGCCGCACCATTGATTATGGGAGAATTGGCGACATACTCGCCGTCATGGATGAAGACGGTCCAGACCTGGATGAAGAGGAAGAGGGCTAGGTAAGCGAATTTTTGGAGCGGGAAGATGAAGGGGAAGACGTGGTAGGGAATCGACTGCGCCCAGCCGTCGACGGGGTGGAAGGCGATGGCGGCGTAAGGTGTGGGCATGATCCATTTGTGGTGTGGCTTGTGGAGCGTTTTGTAGACGGATGGGTGGTGCAGGCTGCGGTGGATGAAGTAGACGAAGCAGTCCGTAAATAGCAAGAAGAGCGGGAACTGCAACAAGTTGTACCATGGGAATGGTGCTTCGGACGGTGCGTCGTAGAGTTTGGAGTAGCCGCGGACTTCGGCGAGAAAGAAGGGCGCGGTTAAGGCGGACATGTAGGGCATGCTGTTCACGGCTTGCGAGATCTCCATGCGCACTTGGTTTTGTAGGAACTTAGGGTGTTTGAAGGTGGTTTTGTCGAAGATGAAGATGTAGGAGAGGGTTGCGACGATGAAGTAGAGGAGCGCGCCGAGGAGCCTGGAGATTGTCAGAGGAGGTTCGCAAGGGGAGAGAATCTGGGGGAACGTACCACATGATGAGAAAGAGGGAGAAGAATTGGCGGTAGGCGTTATCTCGTGGCAGCTGGCTCATCCAGGCTGCGTCTCGCGGCGTCCAGGAGAGGTATTTGCTGGAGGGCGTGTGCTGCCATGATGAAGCGACTTTCAGGGCCTCGATAGTGGAATTTCCGAAGCCGTTCTGCAGGAGGTAGGGAGCGGGTTGGGCGGGGAGAACGGCGGAGTAGAGGTAGTCGAAGAAGAAGGTATCGCAGAGCTCGAGGAGGATGTCCATGGTGGCGAGTGGTGTATCAGTCGGTGGGTGTATTCGAGATGATCCGATCGTCGGAAGTCGAAGGGATTCGCAGACACAAACTCCAAATCAATGGGTTCAATCCGAGGGTCCAAGGTCGTTGAAGGAGAGTCAAGAAGTGAAGCTGGGCGGACGTTGGGTATTTGAATTGCCTCTTGCTCAGACACTGGCGAAATTTGTTGATCGACGTTCCTGACAAAAGCTGCTTAGCGTTGCGAAAGGTGATGGCTGACGAATCACAGGCATCAATCCCCGTTTTAAAGGGGGGCTACGGTGGCCACTCCAGCTCCGCAGATGAACAGAATCGTGGGCCGATTATTAGCGTTCGGTTGGCTTCTGATCCGGACCACCGAGATCAGGACATAGCAAAGGTACGAGGACGATGTGCCAAGAATGTGCAAAAAGGTACGATGTCTTCCACGAGCAATTTGAATGTTTGATGGAACCGGCCGACGGCGCAGTTTGTCCTTCTACCCCCCCTCAGCGTGCAGTCTGTGGAAAGGTGTCGGGTGAAATTGTCCCATAGGTTCATGTCGTGGTGGGGGGGTTGCGCGGACCAGTAGTCAGCACTCTGAAACATCTGCACGACAAGATCTTGCCGATCGTCAAAGATGTTGCATAATTGCTGCGATTCGAGGTTTTTCGGTGTTTCTTCCGTGTTGGCTGGATTGGAGGAGAGCATATAGTCATGTGACCGCATCTGGGGTAGTCACGTGGAATGAACGAACACTTTGCCTTTCTTGGGCCACAAACCCTGGTATGAGTTGAGCAGCTCATCATGGCCTCTCTTTTGATGGTATATATGCTTCATCAACAATACATGATCCCCCCTTTTCACCCCGTGACCACTCACCCCCATCCCTCGCTTGAGTGATTGCGCAAGACAGCGCACCCGCCCGGACGCCGCGGGATTGATCCAGAGGCTGCATGTTACAGCGCCTGACACCCTGTGCCTGTGCTGTGCTGCACCCCATGTCGGATGGGCAGTGGTTGCCTGCTTCGGGCCAGCTTCGGGCCAGCTCTATTTGAATCGGCTGCGGTTCGGGCGGCTGGCGAAGAAAGAGGGCCCTGGAAGGCCACTGTCTTGGGATGGAGATTGGGTGTACCGAGGTCAAGATTCAAGATATTACAACTCCACCGGAAAATTTGAAGTCTGGACAGATTCATATTGTGATTTAGTTTAAGTGGTGTTAGAACTCCAGAGACCACAAGCTCTTGTGTTGGTGCCCGTCCTGAATCAGACAACGCTCCTAGTACCAACCGGCTTAGCGCAGACTGCAGGTGGGATGGAGGGAAAGTGGCGGGGATTATCTGATGTGCCCGTGATAGAGCTGCCCCTGCTTTGTCTATACGTCTGGCCCGCGGCCTGCGGGATGTGGCTCGAGTGCGCACGACATCGGCATCGGCACCGGCAGGCGGACCCTTGCATCTGCTTCGTCCACGCGGTGTGGCCGTATCGCCGCATCGCCGCACGGCTCGAAACCGCGGGTGCACTGTGGATCGCCCCCTGCTCCCTGCTCGCTTGTCGTCTTGGGCAACGCCTGCTCCGCTCTGACTAGCGCTGGGTAAGGGGAGTTGGGGAAGGAACAAGCTGTCGTTGTGCCGCAAAGTTGATGAAGCCAAAATCGCCGCTTTGCTTTTCGCACCACATCTTCCGTGCTCCCCTTCCTGTCATCTCCCCTTCCTCCTCCTGCTCCATCTTCCATCCTCCATCTTCCACACTCGATCTGCAAACAACCTCCTCTCAATTCATCACCACCAAGAGATTATCTGCGATCCACAGCTATTGTCTGCAGCTGCAAACACTCACCAGTCTCATCGCCGTCAGCCCTGTTTGGCGCACGTCCGCGTGCTCAAGTCGAGGCGCTCCCCAATCACCAGCAGCGGCCACACCTATTTCTCCATCGATAATACATCGAGAAACTCCACGAACGAAAGTTGCAGACGTGCTGGAGTGAGCGTGTTGATCAGCTTCACGAGAACAGCGCCCACATATGGCAATGTACAACCCACACCGTGGGCTGGGTCCTGCCCCGAGCGGTGGAAATGCTCGTCTGAGCGAGTTGCTGGATGGCATCCGGCAAGAATTTGAGAATCAAGCTCGAGCAAGTTCCGACTATGAGCATTCAAGTAAGTGAAACATTGGGCCGGAGCTTGAAGCACGGAGTTTGCTAACCTTTCCAGTGGCGCAACAAATAAACGAGATGCAAATGGTCAGGGAGAAGGTGTACTCTATGGAACAAACACATTTGGCCTTGAAGCAGAAGTAGGAGTCCTCAATTCGATGGCCTAGGAGAGAGAATATTGACATTTCACAGGTACGATGAAGAAATCTCACGACTCCACCGCGAACTTGAGGCGAGAGGTGGCCAGCCTCAGCGCGCCGCAGGCATCGGCGGTCCTCCTCAAAATGCGGGCTCATCTCAACAAGCTCCTCCGGCAATCGGCCTCGGTCCAAGCAATTTATTCGGCGGAATAATGGCAGGGACAGGTGCGCCGGGCCTGGCGCCTCCTCCCCCTCAATCGGATCAGCATGGCCCCCCACAACATCAGATGCCTCAACCTCCTCCTCCTCCCCAACCAAGTCTTCAAGGACCTCCACCGCAGCAACCTCCCTTCCAACAAGGTGGTTATCCCGGACCAGCCAATGGGTACTCTCAACCTCCTCAATCTTCATCCTCTCCTGGTCCTAACAAGAGTAGGGGTGTTTTGAACCGTGGACCTGGCGGACCAGCCACACCTCAGCTGAACCAGCCGATCCCATATCCCGACCCAAGAGCAGTAGCATCGCCGCAGGTTGGACACCCTGTTCCAAACCAACATCCACAGTTCCGAGTTGGTAATGCATTGGCGGAATTGGACCTTGAGCGCCTTCCAGGACATCAGAAGAAGGTGGAGTCAGATTGGTTTGCGATCTTCAATCCAGAGGTACCTCGTGTGCTCGATGTTGATCTCGTCCACACTCTTCAGCACGAGAGTGTTGTTTGCTGTGTCAGATTCAGCCATGATGGAAAGTACGTTGCTACAGGCTGTAACAGATCAGCACAGATCTTCGATGTCGTTACCGGACAGAAGATTTGCATCTTGCAAGATGAATCAGTGGATGCCGTTGGAGATCTTTACATCCGAAGCGTCTGTTTCAGTCCTGATGGCAGATATCTCGCCACCGGCGCAGAAGACAAGTTGATTAGAGTAAGCAAAACCATCACTTTCTACGCGCACAGCTAACGATACAGGTGTGGGACATTGCCTCCCGAAGCATTCGCAACACCTTCGCCGGCCACGAGCAAGACATCTACTCCCTTGACTTCGCCCGCGACGGCCGCACCATCGCCTCCGGTTCCGGCGACCGCACCGTCCGCCTCTGGGACATCGAGGCAGGTCAAAATGTTCTTACCCTCTCCATCGAAGATGGCGTCACCACCGTTGCCATCTCGCCCGACACCAAGTACGTCGCTGCCGGCTCGCTCGACAAGAGCGTTCGTGTCTGGGACGCCACTACTGGCTATCTCGTGGAGCGTCTCGAAGGTCCAGACGGCCACAAGGACTCCGTCTACTCGGTTGCTTTTGCACCAAACGGCAAGGACCTCGTCTCCGGCTCTCTCGACAAGACGATCAAGATGTGGGAGCTCGTCGCTCCTCGCGGTGGACATCCCAACAACGCCCCCAAAGGCGGCCGCTGCATCAAGACGTTTGAAGGCCACAAGGACTTCGTTCTCTCAGTTGCTCTCACACCTGACGGAAACTGGGTCCTCTCAGGGTCAAAGGATAGAGGCGTGCAGTTCTGGGACCCAAGAACGGGCAGTACGCAGCTTATGTTGCAGGGGCATAAGAACTCTGTCATCTCGGTGGCACCTAGCCCGAGTGGTGGGTCTTTTGCGACGGGATCTGGGGATATGAGGGCTAGGATTTGGAGTTTTAAACCTTATCCGTGAGTGAGCAAGGGAGCATGCTACGGAGTGGGTGGAGGAGTGGAATTTGTTTTGGGAAGATGAATGGAATGGCGTACTGGAGGAAGGGGAGAAAGGGTCTCTTTTGTTTGCCTTAGTTTTGTTGGGTTTCTTTTGAATGTGTGAGTATGGAATCGAGACGATATTGGGACAGGGGGAAGGAGTGTGAGAATAAGAAATGAAAAGCTTGAGTGAGAATTCAGATAGGAATTGAATAAATGAAGAGGGATTGGTACAATCGGGTGTGTGCTGCTGTTATGTTATCTTTTTCTCTCTATCTCATTCTGGCTAGGGAGCTCAATGCACCAAGTGGTGCTCGTACATTATGAAGACACGAGATGGATAGCAGTAACGGCTGCCAATGAGCCACACACAAGGAAGGGACATATTTATATATAAAGGGTATTTATATATGAAGCGCATTTACGTGCGAAGCGTATGCGTGTACTTGAAGTGCACGCGCGTGCCTTGAGGATATACTTTTAAGTAATTACAAGGGGCAAGAGAGGGACGTGCTTCTTGCTTACCTTTTGTGCGCGTGCCGGGGGCTGAAGAATAGCCGGAAAAAAAAGCTTTACTTGATAATAAAATTACAAAAATTAGATTGCTAAGCGCGGGGAAAGGGGGCTAGAAAGAAACCAAAGTCTCAAATGCAAAAATACCATCTCTGGACAGACCCTAGAACGGGTGCTTATGCATCTAAAAGAGAGTCAAAATCAAAAATTATCGCTTTGGGCGTATACCCATATTTTAGGAAAACTACGCGAGCAGAACAGGGGTGTTGCAGGGGTTGGCAGGGGCACACTGATATGATATGTATAAATAAAATATGCCTTGAACTGAACCTCTTTTCGTTCCAGGAAATCCTCCTTTCCCGCAAGTGTATCTGTGTCCAACATCGCCTCGCCTCGGCCCTCTTTATGCAGCATCTGCCAGTAGATTTGATCGACGTCGACGCTATTCCGCGATGCAAGGTTAAACCAGAACCGGCCGCTGTCCCACCAGTTCTTTATTCGAGCCGAGAAGAGTGGCTCCCTAGCTAATCGGGCTGACCTGGCCTCGACGCGTTCCATTACTATCCCCCCCCCCTAAACACTTAATCGTTCGGCGCTTCCCACCCAGTTTCTCGCTTAGCACGCTTAATGGGTGAGGGTCAGCAATACGCAAAGCACAGCAATGCGCAAAACACACCAAAATCAGACCAAAATTTGTATGGGGAACTTGTACAGACTACGCAACGATAACGCCTTTATTTTTTGCCTTTCAAATTTGACTTACGGAAAGGCCCATATCTTATTATTAATTGCCACAACTTAAGTAATTATTAATTGTGTTAGGTTTTAAAGGGCGAGGCGGACGATTTTGGTGTGTCCCCACTAAAATTTGGATTTGCGCATTGCTGTGCTTTGCGTATTGCTGACCCTCACCCATTAAGCGTGCTAAGCGAGAAACTGGGTGGGAAGCGCCGAACGATTATCCCTTCGTCCGGTGAGACATTGCCAGGCGCTAGCAAGGGAGGGTCCCGCACTGAACAGGGGGGGCTCGCCTGGCACACGGAGCATAATAATTATGTACCTTTGCATACAAATTTATTAGTAAGCTACATCGCGTGGATGAAATCGCGTCCAATAATGCCCCTCCAGTACGCGCTCATGCAGCCAGCAATGGACCATTCTTCTAGCCCACCACCAGAGCCCAAGGGGCTAAAAACCACCCAATCACTTGCGAATATACTTCATAAACTTGGACCAATCACAGACGTTTCCTACGAGCCTTTCCAACCCGAACCTAGACAGCCAGCAAGAGTGATTTTACCTCCTAATTTTCCACGAAAACCACACCCATTCGATTACTTTAGTCTATTCTTTACTCCCGAGCTTTTCCAGACAATTACTACAAATACCAATCGATATGCGAGCATATAAAGGCTATATATAAAGGAGAAGAGGGTACGAGAATAGACAGATTTGCTTCTGGAAGAATTACACGTGTTTCTCGGTACTATTATATATATGGGAGTATATAATAAGCCTCAAGTTGAGATATACTGGAATTCAGACTTTAATAAAGGTCCCTTGCACTCAATTACAAGCCATATATCGCTCTGCTGCTTTGAATAAATCAAGCGGTATTACCATATTTCGTGCTCTATAAATAACGAGCAAAATAGGTACCACTTACCAAATAATAAGTTTTGGTGATATAAGCTTGAACCTCTTGCTTCGTCCATACAAGCTTCCTGTTAACTATATTACTCGCCTTTATCTGAAGTGAGTATTAATGAACTTATGATACGGTGCTTTGGCAGGTACTGTGATGGGCACACGTGATGGCGCATGGACAGGTGTCAGATGTCGTGGATCTAGTTTCCTATTTTAGGTAAAGCTTGCGATCGGAATCGTACGGATCGCAGGGGATCGTGTTTCCTAGTTAAGTAAAGTGCTTCGCAGGCTTGGCTAAGTACTAGGGAACATATAGGGAGACGCTCCTAGCTTTAGAAAGGGGCATTAATTAGTCTTTTATTAAAATTAATTCTTGGAATCAGTTATACTTTGTGAGGCACGTAATAGCAGGGTAATGCACAAGTAGTCAAGGTAAGTAAGCTGCGGAGTGACGCTTGCAAGTGTAACTGATTCCAAGAATTGATTCTAACAAGAGACTAATCGATGCCCCTTCCAAAGCTAGGAGCGTCTCCCTATATATTCCCTAGTGCTTAGCCAGGCATGCGAAGCCCTTTACTTAATTAGGAAATCCCATGCGATCCATATGATTCCGATTACAAGCTATACCCAAAATAGGAAACTAGATCCACGACATCTAATACCTGTCCATACGCCATTACGTATACCCATTATATTAACCCCCCTTCTAGGCCCTTATCCCCAAGAGGCCTGGGAAAACTGCAAATAGCTTTACAAATATCCCCCTGAAACTTTCCTGGCTACTAGCTTTCCCCAAAGACTTCCTATAATTACCCTATTATTATACCAGGTAATGGAATTAAGGATATAGTTTACTAACCCTTCCCAGCTAGTTCGTAAATCACCTCTGGTAATTCCCCCTTATAAAGGTAATACGAATATAGTATATACTATCGGACATAAAGCTTATCCGATCTCCTAATTAGTTTATAAATCCCAACTTAGCCTCTATTCGCGAATAAATCGTTATTCTATAGGCCCAAGAGCTTGGAAAAGTTAATCCGATCTTCTAGTTCGTTCGTAAATTCCTTCTTTAGAATTTTCTGGGTATTCCTGGTATAGAGCCGGTTCCGAATTTGCGATTACTATTCGGGAAGAGGGTATTATAAAAAGGCCTCCCTTTTCCCACTAACTAACCTTCCTTTTTCTCAACTATAATACTATACCCAGCTTCTCCTCGTCCCTTGCCTTCCTTCTTTAAGCCTTCTTCAAGCTCCTTTAAGCTTCTTTAAGCCTTATTTAAGCTTTATTCAAGTCCCCTTCTAATTCCCTCTTCTATTTCTTTATCTATTAAGATAAATACTTCTCTTAGTACTCGTTAGCCTATTACTACCTGTTCGGCTAATACTCCTATATCCTTAATTTGCCCTTACTATCTTTAATATTCCAAGAATATTACCAAGTTTCCTGACCTTACTTATATTAAAAGTAATAATTACTTAGTATATAATTACTATTACTCTAAGAATAAGAAATATAATCCTATAAGTTATAAATTCCTTTTTTTATTTCTTATTCTAATATTATTCAAGGTTCCTTAAGTATATATAATATAATTAAACTACTTTCTTTAAGCTATTAATATATATAAGCGTTTTCCCTATCCTTTACCCGAAAGAGAGAAGGCTATTACTGCCTTTCTTCTATACTAAACTATATATACTTCTTATATTAAAGCTATTATTTAAAGCTAATAAATTCCCCTAATAATCCAAGAAATAGGTTAAGTAATTCTTATTAGTTTAGTATAAGTATAAAATACTCTTAATAATATAATTAATATTCTTTAGTATTAAGTAAGCTTATTTCTTCTTTATTTCTTACTAATAGCTAATAGCTTTATAGGCTAATTTATTACCTATTTCTCGAGAGAATTCTAATAAGAATAATAATAAGGATAATAAAAAGTAATTATAAGAATAAGATATTTATAGAATATAGAAATTAGAGTTTTTAATAATTTTTATATAGTTTTTCTAAAAATAAATATATGGTTTTTTAATAGTTTCCTAATAAAAGCATTTATCTTTTATACCTTTATTTAGCTAATAATATTATAATATTACTCTTTTTCAAGTATTCTTGTAATTCTTAAGCTATATTCTCTAGATTACTTAGTAATTCCTATATATTATTTACTAGTAAATAGCTCTTCTAATAAATAAGATATTTCCTTCCTTTTCTGCCCTCTTTATAGGCCATAATAGATTCTATCTCGAATTTCTCTTTACCCTTAATCTCGACTAGCTCTGGTTTTATTATAGTATTAGCTTACGGGTATTATAATTCCAAGAGGGAAATATAGAAAATATTATAGATCTAATATAATAGTAATAATTCTAAATAATATACCTATCTATATATTTCTATAATTTCCAGAACTTTAAAGAAGCCAAGATATCTATCCGCTAGTTTTATACTAGGTTATAGCTATTAAATATTCTTTATATAAAGTATGACTTTATTATATATCTTAAATTCCTTATTAATATATTTCTTATTATAGTACTTTTTCTATATATCTACTACTTTTTATTATTATTTCTCTAGTACCTCTCGTTTTACTTAAATTCTTTATATTCTTTCTTATATTACTAGTATTTCTTTTTTTAGAATATTATCCTTAATATATAGTTTAATACTAGAATAGAATTCATATAAGATATAGAATAGGAATATTTCTATTATTAAATATATAAAGTTATTATATATAAATTCTATAAGAATAAGCTTTACTATTCAGTTATCTTACTAGTAGCTAGTATAATACCTCAAGTATTATTC